TACTCAGAAGCGATTGGCTTGGCGGGGATTTAATTTGTTTCCTTTCAGGCAGCCAACTTAAATGGAAAAGCTTAATGAGGAATTAAATGATAAATTTAAATTTTGAAATTCAAAATTCAAACTTATATAAGCTGAGGCAATTAGCCCGTGTTCAGCCCGAATCAAACTGGAGTCGAATCCGAGTTGAGCCCGGGCCCGTGTCCCGTAAAAAAAAATATGCATCGATATTTGTGTCATTTATTTGTGCGAAACCACAACAATGCGGGTGCCCTTTTTAGCTAAAGTCGACGTTCCAGACATGTCGGCGCGGTCTGTTTCGTCATCCGTGGTCGTCCAGACGAGTTCGCCGATGGGCGAGTCAAATCAAGTCAAAGTCATGTGTGGTGCAGTGAGTGCGTTGCTGAGCCGCCGAGGGTTCACCTAAGGCCGTACGATCCTGCAGGAACTTATTTTCGAGCCCTCTACATGCTGGTCCTTAGCCCTTGCAACTAGAAGTTGAGTGCTTGGAACCACTCATGCGAGTTCTTCACAAAAATGAGTCAAGAAGCGGTTTGAAGTTCTACGGGAGGTGGGCTTCATTACTAGTCCGCTAGGATGGTCGACAAGGAACTCCTAAGGCTAGATTATGGATTATGGGAGTAGGAGATTAAGACCTCACTAAAAATGAGGTCAACAAGGTAGTGCTAGTCAAAGTGCGGTTAGCAACTCTACTAAGTAACCTAAAATTGCTTAATACTGTAGTGTTACTTAAACTATTTTTGTTTTAAGCTTGTTGGCTCAACTTCATTTGCAAAATGTCACTTTAGCTAATTTTGGCATTGCGCTCTTTTAATATGTATTAATTATATCTTTGTTTTGTTATGCTTTCTTTTTCTTTTTTTTTTTTAAATTGTATTTAAAATTTTTGCGTATGATGCATGCATTGCTTTTCTAAGAACTATTGGTTGAGTCCATTTAAATTCTGTGCATACCAGTGTATTCTGTGTATATCTTCAGAATGATTTGTTAAACTCTTACTTTAGTGTTAATTATCTCATACTTATTTGTTTTAAGCTTAAATTGTTGGATCAACATCATCTGCAAAGTGTTAGTACTTTTAACTAATTTTGAGATTGTGATTTTTTTATCTTGAATTCTTGTTATGCTATACTCTTATCACCTTTTCTTTTCATTTCTAAATCTACGCAGTTGTATGGATTTTCTTCTAAGAGTACAATTTAATACCGATTTTTGTGCTTGATACTTGCATTACCTTCCTAAGGAAGATGCGTTAACTCCAGTTACCTTATCTAGTTATCTGTTTGGCTCAACGGACAAAAGTGTATAATGCCCTACTTTTTGAAATGATAAGAAACTGATGTATGAAAATTTAACAGCAGATATTGTCCTTTAAAACGGAGACAATGACCTCTACAATCTTCATGCTTTTTACAATATAATTCTGAGTAGTTTGATACTGACAATCTGACAGTTCATTCTTTGGTATCCCAACATTAAGTACTTCCTTGTGACTATTGAAGTTTGGTATAATTTTTAAAGATGATAGAAATGTTATTTTTACTTGACATTTCTCAAATACTTTATCCCGTAGTTTCCGTTTTTTGTTACTGGAAACCTACATAAAAGATGCTTCATATTTTCATATTTACTTATCAACTATAATTTGCATTTATCTATATGAAAGCCTAATGTGCTGTACCTTTTAAGGAAGCACCCCACTCCCAAAATTTTCCTTTTTTTTTATTTTAGTTATCATCAAAATTTATAGCTTCTGGCTATTACACATGCAAATAAAAAGCGAGGGTGTCAAATATAGATATAAATTTTATAATGTCACATATGTGAAAGTTCTTTTTTAACTGTCAAAGTTGATCTTTCTAGAATTTGTTAAATGTTTGATTTCAATCATATTTATTTTTCTAGCCTTATCATTTGTTCTTCATTTTGTATACCATAAAGTAATTATTTTCTTTAATACATAAGATTACAGTGTGTTACATTACCATTAATTTCTTTAATATATAAGCTTTGCATTTGGATAACTCCTAGAAGTAGAGTGGCCCTTATTCTTTCTTCTAAATTTCTAAGCTATATGTTCTTCAATTTGAAAAGATTATGCTGGTCGATTATCTTAAATATCATTAAAGCCGTGACTTTAGAATTTCTCTAGTTGTACCCTTAAGATGAGTCGTAGGGTTCTTGTTTGATCATTTGACCGCATTAGAAGAAATTTGAGTTTAAAGATGTACAAGTATTATAATAATGAATCTGAGTTTTGATAATATTTAGAGCATATCTGGTTGATTTGATTTGTTATATACTTTGGTAAGGGTGAACCTTTTACATGGTTTTGTGATAGCCTTCCAATGTTGTTCATTTTAATGTTGCAATTGATCTTATTTGTCCCTTTTTATACTCTAGAGAGGAATGACTAGCTGGATCATGTGCTTAAACACTTTATATGGAAATCTAATAAAAAAATGTATTGGTTTAAGCATATCTTTAATGCATTGGGAGATGGATGTGCCATACCTTTTGATTCTTTGATTTTCTCTCTGTGCGCTGAAAACATGTGTTTTCCTAAAATAAAAGCTTGCATCCTTGAATTTGCTTCTTATCTTGGGGTGTAATGGATGAATTATTTCAATTTTTCACGGGGATCTTTCCAGAATTTTGTTGTGGAACAATTTTCCTTTCCCCTATATTTTTTCTTTGGCTTGCTTATAAGAGCACTATTTAGCTACTGAGAAACACTTAAGAAACCATTATTGACATGTCAGACAATTAATTTTTGTTGTCATCTTAAAAAAATTGTACTTCATATTATGTCATGCTTTTTTTCCTTTCTTTATAAGCAACTAAATGCTTACTTGGGATCACTTTTTTTTTTTTTTTTGCATGCTTTTATTTTTTAAAACAAATTAGTTCATTTTAAAAAAAAAATTAAAACTTATAAAAATGTTTTGAGTGTTTTTAAAAACAAATTAAAATGTTAAAACATACCAAACATGTTTCATTTTAAGTAAAAACATAAAAAAAAATAAAAACAAAAAATGATCCCAAACGGCCCTTAATTTTTCCAAGCTTAATCACATGGTCTTTTATTATATTGACAGGATGCTGGCTATTGTATAAAGTTGCTAATAACCAAAGACTTGATCTCGAGTCCTATGACGTTATGTCAGCAAATGATGCTCCAGAAAGGGATCCAGTGGAGTGGTTAGTAAAATTTTCTTTTTATATGTTGTTTGATAGATATGCTCTTTTTATGTAACCACTGCATTTTGTTTTATAAGCTTCCCCAATTTTGTGCGTGAGTGGTTTGGTTGATTACATCAAAGCAACAAGCGTAGCCTATCCTGTAAAATTGCAAAAAGATAAGGCGGATGACAAACCAAACTTTCCGTGCTGGATTTTAATCAGATCCCTTAGTCATGTATCATGCTTTATGTTGACCCACTTTTTTTAAAAATCTTCTATTTTACTATTCCTTTATTCGGTGTTGTCCCCTAAACTTATTTAAGTCTTATTATATGTTATTTTAGTTGCAAATTTGTTAGGCTTTGAAAATTCAGGCCCAGCTTATCCGAGAGAGAGAGAGAGTTTGTGTTGTAAGTCAAATATTTAGAAATCACATTGGCTCTGTAGATCCGACATCACCTAAAGATTTTTCTCTTGTTTTGCAAGAATTTTATGATCTAGTTTCAGATTTTCATAGACATGAGTCCCTTTTCTTTAATTATCTTTCTTGAAGACAAGAGACAATTTAATTAAGGTTAGTCAATAGGCGCTAAATGTATGACTTGTAGTAACAATTTTGTTTTGGATTGTGAGAATTTGCAACCTTTAGCTTAGATTAGATTGTGAAGGGAATGATGACGAATAAAATCAACATCTCATGATTCCAATATCTATGATTATGTCATGAAATTTGATTTATTTAATCAGAGGAGATAATCGACCAAGGTTTACCAAATAGATTCAAATTAATAGTCACGAGTTGTGTTTGTCCAAGGGAATTTTATTAACCTTGGGTGCAAATCTATTTTAGAGGATAATTTTAAGTAGCTTATATAGAAAGAATTTTTGTCGTATCAAGTGCATTCCATGATTTACTAGTAAGGAGATTTGGGCCGTTAGTGAACTTACGGGCTCAAGATGTAATCATAATTTAATAGTATCATTTTGTAGCAAATGGCTCAGTCAAATATAATTGTTCTTTTTCATGGAACCATGTTTTATCAAATTTATATGATCAGAGGACATGCCACTTTTTTATTTGTGGGAGATTTATGATAGTGTTCATAGAAATATACTTTATATAATATTGGCTTTTTGTAAGCTTATTTTAATCTTTATATTTATCACATTCGAGGAAATATTGTGGTGGATGAATGAATTATTGTTCAACGATGAATAAATTATTGCTTTAAGCTTTAATAGATAGATTTCACTTGAATTTTTTAGAATTTTCACATTTTATTGAGATTTCAACTCAAAATGATTTGCATTAGAAGGTGGGATACCTTGATGATTTTATATCTTTAGGTTGAGATTTTCTATTTACACGGTAATCACCAACTTATTTGAATAACTTCATTTTGTCATTTCGTATTTTTTGGACTTTGCTTACTTTGAGAATGGACTCTGTCATTTGCATTTGATTCGATTTTAGTTGAAAATTTATCATGTTACTGCACTTAATAACTATATATAGAAAATTGGATTTGTAGATTGAACTCATTATTGTATTTTCTTAATGTGTAATACCGAGTCTTCATTTAATAATGGATTTTGTTTATAAAAGGACCAGAAGTGCATACGCAAATGTGGGACAATAATTTCATGGATTTTGCACTTAAGTATTAGTCTCCTAGTGAGACAATAATTTCTTTGATTTTGCAGTCAAGTATTACAGCCTGTTTGGGGCAGCTTGTTTTGGCGTGGTGCTTTTTTAAAATTGGATGAGGCTTTTGGAAACAACGGCGCCATAGCGTTGCTTAAAAAGTTATGTTAAACGCGGGCCCCACGTTTCTTCACGAACCTATTACTCTTATACCCCTCTCGGTGCTCCCCTCTCACCGCTGCCCTCTCTCTCTCTCGTTTCTTCTGCCCTAGGCCGCGCCTCTCTCGATCCCTCCTTTCTCGCGCCTCTCCGGTGGCAACTAGTTGCCTTTCTCCTTTCCCTTTTCCCTCAATCTCTGGTGGCAACGGGTTGCCTCTTTCCACTCCCTCTTCCATCCGATCTTCGGCTCTTTGCTTGATTATTGTGCTCTCTATTCTCCCATGGTATCATATATTTTTTTTTGATGGATTGACTTTCTCTTTACGGTTTGTGGCTTTCTCATTTGCCGTTTGAAGTGAGAATTTGAATTTTGTTATTTTTGGTTATCTCATTTGCGGTTTGAAGTGACAATTTTGGATTTTGCGATTTGTGACTTCATGACTCATCCAGAATGACTTCATGAAACGTTTTAGCAATAACCTTCTACATGTTATTGCAGATTCCACCACTGAGAGTGATCGGGCATGGAGAGTATCCCTGAAGGATGACTTAGCTCGTGACATACGTCGTCTGTATTTTAAAAATAATATTATCATATTATTAAATTTTGTTTTAAGTCATTTTCTTAATTTTTATTTGTCGTGTTACTCACTGTTAAGTGAGATGTCTATATTTATTTTATAATGTTTTGCACTTGATATTTACTTTTAAAGTATAGAAAGTACTAGTATGAACAGTTTTGTTGCAAACAACATTGCTTTATAGGGGTAGAATGATCATTTGTTCAAAAAAAACTGTAGCACAACTGTTTTCAAACTGTAAAAAAAAAAACCACAGCAACTTTTTATGGCATTTGCTGCACAACATTTTATTATTAAGTTATAGCTATCCTAAACAGACCCTTAGTCTCCTAGTATGATAATTAACTTGCATAAACTGCAATGAGGGAGCGATTCTAAAATCATTATTTGGCAGCAATTTTTTAAATTTATTGTCCAGATATTTATCATGGAGGCTAAGTATTATAAACTATAATCTTTAAGATGGAGATCAGAGTTGAAAAGTGACAGTGATTTATGAAGTATAGCAATAAAAAGGCTCCTTACCATACTTTAGGTTCCTTTTGGAGCTACTGTAAGCAGTGGCCTTCTCTCATTGTTATCGAATTATTGTAAGAAAATTTGAAATATTTATTGGTATTATAATTTTATTACTGTTAAAAATTTGAAGAATATTTTTCTTACTACAATGTCTTCCTAGTAGATATGGTTGTACAAACATATTTCTCAATACAAAAATTACTGAAAATAGCCAAATAGAAGGGAGATGGCTTTTTGAAAAGCTGCCCCAAAGTGAAAAGTAGTATCATTTTTATCTTTTGAGCACATCTTCCATAAAAAATGAAAATGAAAATGTAATTTTTGTGTCATAATTTCACTGCTTGAATAGGATTGTTGAAGGAAGCAATGATGGAGGCCTGAGCTGGAATGTATTAGACAAACGGAGTTCTCAGTTATTTGAAAAACGTTTCCAGCGCAGAAGTTTCAGAGTTGAAACAAGATATCTCTGTAATGAATTCAGGTAAATCAATTTTAGAAGACTGTTTGAAGTTTCTAGAATCAAATATTATAGGGGCATGTACATACATACCACCCAATTCTTATGTATTTACATATCTAACCCCTACACTGTGGCTTTACATTTATACCTCTCAAATACTCCGTGTCACTTCAAAAATACCACTGTCATTTTTTAAAAAGTGAAATACACCTTTTCATCCATGGATAATGTGTTATATATGAAAAAATCGAAGTTTAGGTTTTTGGTATGTAAATACATAAGATTTGAGAGGAATTATGTAAATCTTATAATGTTATATTGCTCTTTTTGCTGACCGATTTGTATAATTTTACCAAAATTTTATATTCAGTTTGCTTGTGCAATTAATTGTTGTTTTTTAACTGATCAATATGTGTATAATATCATCGAATTTTCAGATTCAGTTTTCTTTCTGTAAGGGATCCAAATGCGACTTCAAGGTTCCAGATAGGCAGCATTGATCTCTATTGCAAAGGGAGCAGTTAAACAGTAAGTGTTTAAGGTTTAATTGGCAAATAAAAAATCTTCATTGTGCTCATAATCATTTTTATTTAAAAATGAAATTAAAAAAGTACTTAAAGGTTTAATTTATAAATGAAGAAATTGTATGTTTGTTGTGTTTATATGCATCCCGATTCTATTGTTAATAAGTGATTCTTATAATATTATCATTGGAAATTGTGAATTGTTGGTATTAGTGACATAATTATATGAGGTGTTGTATTGAGCTTTTACTAGTGATTGTTCTATTTGTCTTCAAAGTTTTAAATTGAAAGATTAATATTCAAGGTCTAATTTGCAACTAAAAAATTGTTATGTAAGGTCTAATTTGCAACTAAAAAATTGTTATGTATTCTAAAATTTACAATACTATGTAATCATACATGATAATTCAAGCAATGCTGTACCTTGTGACTCTTTGGGTGGCAGTAGCATTTTTAGTCATGAGTCCCCTAGGGTCATAGTTTCGAGCCCAACTGAGTGCATCTGCCTTGTAGTGCGGGATCGAGTGGTTGGGCGCATGAGGATGGCTGGGGGGTCTTATCATAGCATTTGGCCATTTTATTTTTTTAAATACATGATTATTGAAGGTTATGACAAATCCTAGGTTTCAACTGCCAAACAACAAACATTATTAATAATAAAATAATCAAAATAATTCAAAATTTTAGAAAAATAAATTAAAGCTACAAACTGCATAAAATAACCAGATAATTTTTATTTAATATTCAAGTAGTGAACTGCCCATATTATATAAGATAGATGATGAGTACCAATAGATAGAAAATTAAGCACAGCAATATTGCACTCCCAGGATTAAAAATAAAAATCTAAACTTATAAAGCTTAGTATGTATTAAAATATCGATTTATATGATGTAACTGGCGTGAGATTAACTGAACGCCAACACTATGTTGAACCACAGAAAATTTTTAAAGACAGCTAAAACCATCTTAAAATCGTAAGCAACAAATTTTTAAGGAAGATTTACAAACATATCACTCAATTCCAATGTGTTTACATATTTAAAATCTAAATTTCAATTTTTAAATGCACTCCATCTTGCTGTTGCATGAAAAGTTGTATTTCATTTTATAAATATTAAAGCGGTAGTATCTTTGATGTGATATGAAAGCTTTGGGTTGTAGAAATATGAAGTTAGGTATTAGATATGTATATACATTAGAATTGGGCAGTATGTATGTAATTGCCCCATTTTTTAAATCCCAAATCATCAGCCTACAAAATACGCCTTCTATTCTCCCAGGAACAGAGAAATGTATAAATAAATTAAAAACAAGCAAAAAAATAAATATAATAATCCGGGACTGTTGTAGATATAACCTTTCTGAAATTATATGGGAAAGAAAAAAAGAAGAAAGCTTAGAAATACGGATTCCTGAATAGAATCCGTAGGATCCTAATTCTGCAATTTTTTCACATTTACAACAAAAAAAAAAAAAAAAAACTTGAAGCAGTAAAAGATCTATACAATATATCTAGATGTAATGACTACAAAAAAATTATCCTTTCATATTGCAGGATACAAAACAACCTATCTAAAATGAGGCGAAGTGCAATCAGGCTTCTTTTCATCAAAAAATTGGTGCCATCAACACTGTGAACCTAATAATGAGCCACAAAATGTTAATATTGTAAAAAGCATGGTAGAAAAATATTTATTGCATTGTATTATGGAAAGCATAGAATGAGAGACGCATGACTATTATTTGACATTCTTGGAGAAGTGCAAGCAGTTAGGTCTAGGAATTGACAAACTACCATTAAAAGGATTGCATGGTACAATCATGAATAGTTTGCTTTTATATGAATCCAATCACGACCTCCATCTCACTAAATCATACACCAAACAACAAATTCTTAATTGCAGAACCTTATTACATGCAGGACTATGTAAAGAACTTATTTGTGGTGTTTATATAATAAAAATTAAATCGTTGGTGCTAACTGAACGATTAGATTCTATGAAAGTGCATAAATTATTCCAGAAAGGATTCATATTTACCAATTAAAAGCCTGAATTATGGAGGAAGCATTTTAATGGGCTTTATTGAAGCAACACAGCTTCGATCAGGTTTCAAATACTTTTGATGTGTATACTTCACAGGCTTGCAGGATGCTGCTTTCTGAAACCTCAATATCATCTCAGCACAACTCCTGTAACAAATAGTAAATAAATCTGCGGTTAATTTTCTTATAAATTTACATATCTAACACCCAAACTTTCATTTAGCATACCGCTCTAATTTTCAACATCACATAAAAGATACCGTTGTCAGCACCTTCTTAATACTGAAATGCAACTTTTCATGCATTCCTTTATAACACAAAAGTGTTATAAATGTGAATGTCAAGGTGTGGTATGTATGTAAATTTCCTAAAATTCAAATGTTATTAAGCAGTGAAGGAAAGAAAGTGCATAAAATAATGGTTATAAGAAAATGCCTGAGTTGGGAGTCTTCGTAGCGAGCGTGTTTACTGAGTAATGTGGTCCAAGGTGGATTCATTTTTAAGCTGGAGCGTGCCACAAATATTGCCGACGCACAAAGCATAGACGGTTTGTATTTCAAAGATTCATTTTCCACAAGACAAAGTTCAATAAGGTAGAAAGCCAGATCTTCTAGCTGGAAGCAAAGTAATTGTAAAAGAAAATTATTAATCAAACTCAAACTCAAGCTCAACTCAACTAATTTACACCTCTAATTATTGGCATAGAATTGATATGAATGTATGTTTCTTTTCCAACGCATGATATTATTGTATGTAATTGGAGAGTGATAAAATAATTACTAAATAAGAATTTGTAATTAATATCTAATATAATATGGGCAGTTCACTAATTACAATTACTATGCTTTAGGGTAAACATAATACAAAAGTGATCCCATAAAAGCCGTAAGTTTCATGAGCTGCAGGCTAAATAAAACCGGGAAGCGAACATGTTTGAGTATTACAAATACCACATTTTTGCATGGAAGTGTAAATTTTTATCAAGAATATTTTATCTCAAATCAAAACATGACAAAAAAAAAAAATAAATTAAAAATAAAAAATAAAAAATAAAAAATAAAAAATAAAAGTAATCCCAAAGAGCCTCTAAGGATCAATTTGGGGTGATTGCAACTTTTTGTAGACGTGATACTAAATTTGCTATGGCGAAATTAACTTTTTCTTAAAAATAATTTGAGTATTACAAGTATTTTCTTTTTCAAAAAAAAGAAACAATCTTCTTACAACTTCCACATTTTTGCATATCTAAATCTCAAAAACAACTTTCAACCACAAAAATTGCAAGGAAGCAACAGGCTAAATAAAAGCGAACAACAATTTGAAAATTAAACCGGGAAGAAAGCCGCCCAAATAACCCCCTAAATGGGCACTCCAAATGCCTAAGGCTTTCGACCAATTCAAGACGTAAAAAATGATTGATGTATGCAGCCTGCGATTACATTACAAGAAAATGACATCTACTTAACATATCACCCAATTCCTTTGTATTTACATATCTGACACCTAAATTTTTCATTTTTTACATTTATACCATCCAAATCTTTCATATCATATCGAAAATACCTTTTTTTTTTTTTTAGTTCTAAAAACTAAAATATACCTTTTCATGCATAGGAAAGATGGTCAATATGTAAAATTGAAGTCTTGGTGTTAGATATGTAAATACATATGAATTCAGTGGTATGTATGTAAATATTCCTTCAAGAAACCTATTTTCTTAATTTGAACCTTTGACTTATGCTTCACAAAATATGCAATCAAACATTGAACAAAGCTAAATGGAAGATCTAAATAAATCTTCAGTTGATAAATTCAGGAGGTAAAATACCTTTTTGTCAGACTGTGCAGCTCTCAAAAATCTTAACATGAAGACATAAGGAGTTGGTACATTTAAACGAAAGTTCAGATTTTTCAATATGAAAATCTCCTGAGACAACAAAACAATAGTCACCAAATGCCATAATCACACAAGTAAATAATCTTAAAAGAAAGGGACATTTACATACATAGCACACAATTCTTATTTATTTACATATCTCACACTTAAACTTTCATATTTATATACATAGCACTCAAATCTTAAAAGTGAAATACACCTTTGCATGCATAGCTTTAAAGCACCAAAGTACTCTATGTAACTATGAAAATTTAAGTGAGAGATATGTAAATATATAAGAATTGTGCGCTAGGTATGCATTTCCCTAAAAGAAAACTCACCATTCCAAGCATTTCATCCTTGGTATATTGGTTTACTGATAAGGTAATCAATTCATCAACCTGCAACAAACTATACATTCTTTAGTAAAAAATTGGTTGGATTTTCAAAATACAAAGCAGCAAGGGATCACCATGCATAAAACCATCATTTTACCTTAGGGTGCCAGTAATCTTCATATTTAGATGCCAAAAGAAGCGTGGTAAGACCAAGCAATTGCAACTCATTCTTTTTTATATTAACAATCGAAAGTAATCTGTCCAGCAGCTCTATCATGAGGAAAAGTGATTCTTCCATCAGTTGATACTTGTGGTGTACCTATATCACAATAATATTTTGACTACTTAGTATAATAAAATATAGGAGCATTTACATGTATATCACACAATTCTTTTTTATTTAAATATCTCACACCTAAACTTTTTTATTTATATACATAGCATTCAAATATTTAAAATCACATAAAAAATACTACTATTATCACTTTTTAAAAGTAAACTATATTTTTTTCATGTATAGATTTAAAACACCGAAGTGCTATGATGTAAATAAGAAATTTTAGGTGTGAGACATGGAAATACATAAGAATTATGTGCTGCCTATGTAAATTTCATTACAATATAATACTGCAAAATGGTAGGAAGAAGAAAAAATGGTTTTATCATCTCATACTTCAATTAACCAGTTGACCAATACGCTTCGCATCTTAGAAGTAATATCTGATTGTATGTCCATGAAGTTCGCTAAAGAAGGACGTTCTATCTGCTTTGCATGAGTGAAACCATAATAAACAAAAAAAAAAAGTCAACCAGACTAAGCAAGATTAATACTCGAGACCAAACTCTAAAACTAAGAAAAAATTAAGACTAAAACATTCTTTACTCGATCTGCTAACCATAAAATCACCAAACGAAAGCTATCAAAATGGCTATGAAGGGAACAAGACAAAAAAATGCATGGGATTAATTTCATAATTAAGTATATAGTAAATCAAAAATAACATACCATCATACAGAGAACTTTAAATTTATTCTAAATTCGTTTTGCTAGAAATATTAGATTCCAGTTTTAAACAAAAAATATGTGAATTATTACCTTCTATTTCCAAAAGTTATATATACCATTTGTTAAACTAGTATAATACTTCAACATTTTGAAGAATTGAGATCTTCATCATTATCACTATCAGCAGAACATAATGTTCTTTATTGAAAAAAATTTCTTATGGCTATTAGATTCTAGCAGGTCCTGTTATAAAAAATTACTTCTCACGGTAGAATTTTTTTAAAAAGCAATAAGAAAATTTTTGCCATATATGAAAAGCTACCCCAAATAGACCATCGATATATAGTGCCATATGAGGTTCCACAACTATTCCTAAAGCAACAAGCACTAGTTGACTTGTTTCTTTCTTGTTGACGACATTATACTAGAGTTACCAAGATTTTTTTGCTTTGATCCAAATTTGACGCGAGTATGGCTTTCCAACTTTTCATAAAGTGATAAAGAATTCTGCAAAGTGAATTTTAATCCGACATTGCCAAAGTCTTCTATAACCAAGTTTCGACCTCGCATTTTCAAAAGATGATGCATGAGTTACCTTGCATTAAAATTAATACTTCTCAACAAAATACGGTAGAAAAAAAATGAAAATGTTCACTTACTAGTACAACTAGACATGTTATTCCAACACAATATTCCTAAATCATTTTGAGAGTACAAGCCATCAATAAAAATAATCTCCTAGTTTTTTTCTCAAGTTGAACATTAAAGCAATCTTACACCATGAACCTTTGCTTTACGACCTTTACTCATGATCATAATAATAATAAAAGGAAGCACAACCAAAAGACCCAAAGTGTGATCATTCGCATAACCAAATGAATCCATGTATCTATTGATGTCACTTTTAAATAGATAAGTGTCAAAATAGTCCCCAGACTTTTTTTCAGTTATAAAAATGTCAATTAGTCCTCCTTGAGGAATATTTCAGCTCATAATAAAAGTGTTGAGGGCTAATTTGACACGTTTATAAACTCTGGAACTAAAATGACCATGAGAGGACTATTTTGACAATTTATTTCTTTTAAATAATAGAGACATTTTTTGTTCAAAATTATCTCTACATGTAAAAAATAGAAAAAACATTACCAGTGATCATTTTACATTACTAAAACCAACAAATATTTTTTTTAAATCACCTTCCATCATAAACGTAATGACATTTGTGGATTACTTGGCTCAATTCTTGAAACTATATGCAATTTTGTGCAAGGGAAAAAGAAAACGAGTAATAACACTACCTCCATTGCCCAATAATACTGATAGATGGCATCCACATACTCAGCTACTTCCAAGGGGTTAGTGGTATCATCAATATTTGTAAGCAAATCATTTTTCACCAGTCCAACACAACCTTTTCTTATCTGCAAATAAAATAATTTAGTCATAAGCATAAGAATTTATGTAAGAATAAAAGGATAGATAAATTAAGATTTACTAGATGGGTGACATTTGAGATCATACTACTAATGATAAGGTATAAGATTTTCGGCGGTTGCTGTTGAATCCTGAAATTGATGCCTTGTTTGTAATATCATTCGAGTGGTTGCTACCATTAGAATGAGAAACAAGTTCTTGTGAAACCATTGAATTTTTATTAATGTCAGATGTGCCCAATTCTTCAGCTTCTTTGTTCCCTGAATTTCTTGCCGTTTTAAATTTGTTTTTATTGGATATTTGTCTTGTCATATCTACTTTTCGTAGATTGTAAGTACTCTGCATAAAGATTGATACATTTGAAGTAAGGAAAGGTACGTTAATGCAGAAGGAAGTAGGCACAACATCGATAGCAAAAAGATCTTTAAACAAAACTTTAAAAAATTTGAGCATAGACCCTAAGGAAAAAGGGAAAAAAAAGCACACAAAGATGATATGAGTCAAATTTAAATACAATATCAATGACAAATTTAAGAATTTTGTGTTTGGAGCACTTATAAATGACTCAAAAGAAGCCTTTAATTTTAGTTCATACAGATTTCAATAGGTGTTTCAAAAGTTCAAAGTTATGATTTTTAGTTTTATTTTTTAATGAGTCTTACATTATTCAATTTCCTAGGATATAGTCCCAAAACAAAGGCAATCTTGGCGACATATTGGCCATTATCAGTCACAATATGATTAGCTCTAGTAAAGCAAGTGGCATAGTCAAGGAGACTTTCACCTGCTCCTTGCTTCACAGAACAAAGAAACTTGAGAAGTTGAGAGGTTGTTTGGAATTAGAGAATTGAAAAAAAAAATAATGAGCATTTACTTGCATGCCACACAATTCTTATGTATTTACATGCCTAACACCTAAACATTCATATATACATGCAATCAAATATTTAACATCACATTAAAAATACTATCATCACTATCTTTTTAAAAATGAAGTACACCTTTTCATGCATGGGTTTGTGACATCAATGTGGTATAAGTATAATATCCAACTTTGGATCTTAGATATATAAATAAGAATTTTGTGATATGTAATGCAAATTTTCCAATAAATAAATAGAAAAAATTCTTGAAAAGAGTGGATGTTGTTGACATAGAGTGATTTGAAGTAGCTATGTGCAGTGTCATTGAAGTTGGTGTCAAAGAGACACTTCAAGTTGTTAGAGATGTTGTAGAGGGAAATGATTTTTTCAAAGGTGTTCAGGTGGTGAAAGAGATTGATAGTTTTTTTCTTGTGTCTACAGTTAGGGAGCTTCAATCGAAGAGATTGATAGTTTTTTTTTATATCTACACTTAGGGAGCTTCAAACATAAAATTAACTACTTGCTTAAAAATCTTTAAGGAGAAGAGATCGCTATAAGAATATGGATTATAAGATGTTTTCATTTAAATTTCATAACTAGATTTTGCGAAGTATGTGGGCATAAAAATAGTATGGCAACACATAGTTCAAACACTACCTGAGAACTTATTAGGAAAAAAAGAAACTAACAAACATTGATTCCAAATAAATCTAAAATATCAATGCATAGACTAAAATTTATCAATTTAAATTACCATCAATCATATGTTCAAGCTATTTATGAGAATGATTTCATCAGCATAATTTATAATGCATACAATAGGAGGAGTTGTACAAAGATATTTTAAGTTGTAGTTTGATGAAAATTTAATATAATTCTAACCTAACTTTACTATGTTATGAAAAAGGAGCTTGATTTTACACACAAAAAAATTGTACAATTTGGGTCCCTTCTACGACAAGCATGCATAAACGTACTATTGTAATCACATGCTTCATTATTAAAAGAAATACTTTGTGATTTCATGCCAAACCTATTAAGAGTTTTTCTAATGATTATACTTGATCAACATATACACGAGATAATTATACTTAGAATAATGAATAATACAAAATATAAATTATAAAAAAGATTTTAAAAGGACAGGCGAAATGTAAGATTACAATGTCCAAATCTTGGAAATAAAAAGATCACAATATCGATTTTATTGAAGATAAAATCACATACCACAACAGATTTTCTTGTAGTGGCTGATTTTCTTGTTGTAGCAGGTTTTATTTTTGTAGCAACTTTTTTGGTTACCTTATGAGTTCCTACTACAAACCTAATGCAAAATAACTTTTTAAGTAATAACAAGAGATTATAAACTAAAAGAATGTAATTTTTTCAATGAAAGATTTCTACCTGTTCTGAGGAAATTTTCCCGCATGAATTTTTCTGTGAAAAAAAGTGCAGTAGAGTTTTTATAATAGCTTCCATATTTTGGTAGAACAAACATAACGAGAAAAGAATTTTTGGATATAAATTTGTGGAAAGAAAACAATAGAATTAGATTGAAAAAAAATCCATGATTAAATTACAAAATTCAATCACCATTCACATAATCCTTCTCAAAAAATATAGAAAATAATATATACCAAGGCTCTACTTACCTCACTTTGGATTCAATTTCTGGGATCTCAATTTGGTTATCCTTAGAAAAGTGGGTTTCACATACCGTTCTCCTTCTTGCTTTAGTAGTTATATAAAAATAAATGAAAAGAAGAAAGAAGGCTCAAGGTTTAGCCAAACAAGGTTTTCTAGACATTCACAACTTTGATGAAATAAAGAGCTAGACTAAAGATTACTAGAAAATTTGAGTCTCCCAGAAATCTGTGCAGAACTTTTGGGGTTGGCCTGCAAAATGTGAAGAAAACAGTGAACTTTATTTCTATATAATTCTATCTACAACAGGCCGCAACCAGTTATAGCACTTTTCAACAAATCCATAAAAGGATTTAATTATTGTTATTTATAATTTCAAATCAAATCTTTAATTTGTAATGGCGATCATAGACAGCATAATTAAACACAAGATGATAAACATAAAATTTCAGTAAAAAAAAAAGGCTCAAGGTAAAAGTTAGATGAGACACTGCATGGTTTTTATCACTGTTAGATTGAGATTCTTCTATAAATACTAGGAAGAACATACATACTACTCAATTCCTACATATTTACATATCTAACACCTACATTTTAATTTTTACATATATGTCATCTTACATATGCATGAAAAGGTGTATTTCACTTTTTAAAAGTTAAAATAGTGGCATTTTTTATGTAAAATAGTGGCAAGTTAAAATAGTGGCATTTTTTATGTGATATGAAAGATCTGGGTGGTATAAATGTAAAAAGTTAAAAGGCAAACTTCTAAATACCAATGATCCTATAGTGCATCTTGATCAATCTCGGAATACGAGTATCCTAACCATAAAAAATGAAATAGTATAAAACGTGATCACAACATTCAAATGTTAATGATTTTGCAAATGAAACTAAATTGGATATAGAGTAAAATATAAACTAAAAGTATCTAACTAGCAAATAATTATATCATGAGTGACCATGAATATTGACAGTGATCTGACGAACCCTAAACCCTAAACATGCAAAGATTTCCCTTTTGTTTTTAGAGGACTACTCATTAAATCCAACAAAATATCAATTATTGTATGGACACCATATATCCTTCAGTGGTCTTGCCGATAAAAACTTTTTTTTTCCAAAGCGATAGAAATATCAAATGCTTATGCAACATATACACAAAAATTGTTGTATTCCCTTTGGAGATCAGTTCTCTTACCTGTTGCACAAGCAAAAGTCTGTCATGCCAATAAATATGAACTGCTAACATGATTTTGGAAGATTTACATACCTTCCACTCAATTCCTATGTATTTGTCTTCAATTTTTACATACATGCCAACTTACCTATGCATGAAAAAGTGTATTTTACTTTAAAAAGTTAAAAAAATAGTATTTTTTTATGTGATATAAAAATTTTGAGTGACATAAATGTAAAAATTAAAGTTTAGGTATAAGATATGTAAGTACATAGGAATTTGATGGTAAGTACGTAAATGTCCCGATTTTGTGTTTGTGCATGCACATATCAATGCATTTAAAGGTCTTAGTGTTTGATGGTTTTTGCTCATGCTTTGATTCACACAAGTTTTTAAGCAAAGAACGTAGTGATGGAAATGAAAATAAAGTTTTTTTTTTTTTTCAGTACGGAATAAAATGTGGTATCTCAAAATCACATACCCTCATCAATGACACATCAGCAACCATGATGCCTCTAGCCAGCGAAAACCTGAGATAAGGAGCTACAATTAAACTAGCACAGACAAAAAGGAGCACTTACATACCGAGCACCCAATGCACATGTGTTTACATATCTAACACATAAACTTCACTTTTTTACCTTATACCCACCAAAACTTTCATATCACATAAAAAATACTACCATTTTATTTTAGAATATAAAATACACATTTTCATGCATAGGTAAGGTAGAATGTAGGTTAAACTTACAATTTAGATGTTATACATGTATATATATAAGAATTAAGTGGTATATATGTAAATCTTCCAAAAAATTCAAAAGTAGTAGTAAGGGCAAGAACATGTGAAAGTACAAATGCACCCACTCGTAATTATCAGATAGGAAATGATGTTTGATACATAACATTCTGCCTAAATCCAATAATAAAAGATCAGTCAAATGGTTTTATAAGATATTAAGCCACCTTCCATGCCATCCAGAGACATTACTTCGCTCCATTGTTGCTTTCTTAGCGCCTTCAGATTTGTCCTTCAAATTTCTAGGAAGAAGAAACAAGTAGATCAGCTGTTTAAATAAAAAAATTTCGTAAAAAGAATAGTAATAAAAATAAAAATTAAGCTCTCTTATAGAAAATATAATTACAGGATTTTCTGTTCATTTTTCAGCTGATTTGTATATTGCTTGCTCCTCCCATTGTTTAGGTTGCCGATATCAGCCAAAGCTTTCCTCCCATTCTTCATCATCCCCTTCGATTAATAAAACAGAAACATGCTAGGGCAAATTTATCACTTCTTACTGGTAATTTCAAAAATTCAGCTGCACAAGAAATTTCCATACAAAAAACCAGCGGAAATCCATACACAAACAATTAGTAAATACCTTGCCACTTTCTAGACCAGTCTGAGCACTGGATTTGGTAGAAGCATCAGCCAACACAGGCTTCCTGTATCAGTAAAAGAACAATAGAAGATAGCCAGATCAAGAAATAGCGAGTACTCGAAATAAATTTGTTGATTAAATGGTTAGAGATAACCGAAACCCTCAAGTCATTACTTAGCCAAAGTTCATCTTGAAGAAAAGAAGTAGAGGAGGGGTTAACCAAATACCTCGGAGGCTTATCCCTCGATGCTAAGCTTGCTATTCTTCCGCGATCGCTTCCCAGTGCCTTAAAATCTCGCTCCACTGCACAGAAATATTATTCTGAAACTCTGAAATCGTAAAAACAGAGAGGAAGTTAGCAGCGTACCTTTCTTGGTTGCCTTGGACTCATCTAAGATTCGGATTCCACCGGCTGCTCTGCCCTAATTCAAATGAGGATTCAAGAAAATGGATGAGTTTCTATAGAACGCGACAAGAAGAAGAAGAAGGGTTAGGGTTTCGCCTACTACCTTCGGAGCCACCATTTTCCTTCTCGTGAAAATCGCTGTCGTAATGGAGAGCGAGAGCGAGAGAGAGAGACACACACACACTCAGAGGAGTCAGCGAATTCGAAAATAAGGGGAAGCGCCAATTACAGTTCTTCTAAAACTACGAAAATGCCACGGCTTAATGTATTTATGATTTAAGGCCCAGTTTGGGGCAACTTATTTTGCTGCAGTGTTTGTTTCGGTGTTTAATCCTGTTTTTTTAAATCGCCGTTAATCGCGTATCGAATTTACTTCTCGAATTTAATCGCGTATCGAATTTACTTCTATCCATCGAACGCGGGGGAGGGGTTCCGTTCGGCGTTGGTTAGGGCTTATTTTACTCCCGTGCCCCTGTGGATTCTCTCTCGCGCTCTTCTCCGAGATCTCCTTTACCGATCTTCTCGTGCATAAACTTGTGGTGAGATATTGCATAAACTATAGAAATATCACTCCTTTGATCTTCTCTGGTTCGTTTATATGCGGCTCGAATGTTTTTTTTTGTGTTCCTTTGGTTTCTTTGAGGGCTAGAAGACAACTTCGAAGCTTTTTAAGTTCTTTTGTATGCTCTAGAAATGTTCTCCATAGATCTTCTCTGGTTCTTATGCCCTTATGTTTTGCTTTTTTTGGATTTTTAGCTCTTGCATTTAGGGATTTTTAGATCTTGCTCTGGAAATGGATCACAAATTTTCAGCGCATTTAGATTTATATGCCACACTCTTTTTTTGGGATTGCTAGCTTTATATGCTGCACTTCTCTGGTTCTATATTTATAATGCATTTACATTACAATACATTTCGGTTCTATATCTATATGCTGCACTTCTCTGGTTCTATATTTACAGTTTTTGTGTCTTGCAATACATTTCGGTTTGAGTTGTTCTGAAAATTGGAATTAGAAAATTGGGCTATATTTACAGATCTATACGTTACTGGTATTTTAGCTGGCTGTTCTTGGATTACTTATCTGTGTCTTGCAAGTTATAGAAAATCTAGTTTAGGTTTTGGATGATGAATTATAGAAAATCTAGTTTAAGTTTTGGATGATGAATGGGGGCAAGGTTTAGCATTTATGAAATTTTGCATTTAAAGATAACAGAATGCATTGTTGTCTTCATATTCGAAAGCTTGGTTCTCCCTGTTTCATTGCAATTAGCTATTTTGACTGCTTGGCTTCATTCAATTGGTGATTTCGATTAATGTGGCTGCTAGTTCCATCAAAGCATGGTTTTATTCTTTACAGTTGGGGAAATGACTTCATTCTTCCCGTTTCATTGTAGTGGCATCAATGTTTGGCTTTCGGGTCATTGCAATACATTTCGGTTTGAGCTGTTCTGAAATTTGGAATTAGGAAATTGGGCTTTGGTATTTTCTGAAATTCTTGGTTGAACAAATAAGGGACTGAATTAATGCTTATGATTTGATCATATTTATTTGTGAGTTGAAATCTTGGTTGAACAGAAAGTTAACTGATGTTGTAACTAGATTTGGATGTGGCTCTTGATGGTGGTAGTGTGCTAGTTCACGAATGATTGAGTTTAACCAAAGTTTACAGCTGCATAAATTCGTCTAAATAGAAATGCCAGCATTGCTTTCAGTTATGGTGTATTTAGAGTTGGCTTTGGTATTTCTTTGGTAATCTCGGGTCAAGAGGCAAGGAAATGACATCAATGTATTTAGAGTTGGCCTTGTAACCTTTTGGAATTGCATAATAAAATATTTTCAAAGCTTACTATGGATGTAGGTCAATGACCGAACCACATAAATCATTTGTTTCTTCATATATTTCTTTTTTTGTTATTGATCAAGTTGTTATGCTCTTGTTTGTGTTGGTGGCAAATGTTTATGTTTGGAGACTGGTGTTCTTGTTGGGTTGATGTTGTTGTGGGCTTGAGATGTTCATGTGTTGGACGTATTATTACTTCAAATATCATCTCTTTTTAATTCTCATTGGTTCTCTATAGCTTCATCATGTCTAAATCAGTTGAAGGGGGGGACCTCTGCAATGTGGGATAAGGAAGTAACAAATATTTTCTGCAATATTTGTATAAAAGAAATAGAACTTGGGAACAGACCAACAATATTTTTTAATAAGGAATGGTGGCGAAACATTGAAAAGAGATTCAAAGAATTGACTGACAGAGATTATGATAAGCTGAAATTTAAAAACAAATGGGATCAATTAAAGAAGGAATGAAAAATATGGAAGGTTTGATTTTAATTCCAAATTGCTTCTCTAATTATAATTGTCTAATTATTCGCTCTAAAATGTTCTGTCACAGGCGGTACCAGCAGCGAAAGAGTATAAACAGTGTTAGGCGATTTCACGCACAGTGTGTGAAAAAACTTGAGGATTCAACGAGAATGAAAATATTCATGGCACTAGAGCCAGAAATGCATCTTGAATATTTGCAGGTTTTGGTCGATGAATGATATTTCTTTATGGATTGTATATGTATTTGCACTATTTGAACTTTGACTTATGTCGTTTTATTTTTAATATGTTTGGGACTTTTAAGCATGCTACCTTCTCGTGTTTGGGACTTTTTTAGCTCATTATGTTAACATTTTAAATTTTTGGATAGTGGACTATTAATGTTTATATTTTAAATCATTTAGGATGGATCCACAACATGAACGTCGTAGGAGAATGACATTTGCTACAGCCGTTGCGATATTGTTAATGGATTATTACCTGCATAGAACTACTCGCATTCCCTGCATGACATCCACCTTTATTGGAGATAGATTGGTTGGTGAAATGCTTTCTAGCCATCCAATAAGGTTCAGAAATACTTTCAGAATGACGGCACCTATTTTTATGGATCTTCTCGAGTTATGCCTAAATCGCGGCCTCCAGGGTGCTTCCAGAACGACGTGTAGGGAGGTGTTGGCTATAACATTGTACATTCTGTCACATAATGAGTTAATTCGAGGAGTAATGAAAAGATTTCAACATTCATCTGAAACAATTAGTCGTTACTTTTTAAAAGGAATACAGACACTTGTTAGCTTAGCAGCTTAAATAATTGAACCGGATGATCCATCATTTGCTACCACTCTAGAAAAAAAATGTCAACGATCCTCGATACATGTCATATTTCAAGGTAACTATCAGTGTTTTTAATTTATCACATTCTATATTTTAACAATATTATTACTCTCTAATGACCAATTAAACAGAACTGTATTGGTGCAATTGACGGTGCCCACGTTGATGCTTGAATACCCAACCACGAGAAGGTAGCATACATCGGTCGGAGTGGTTTAACAACGCAAAATGTAATGGTTGTATGCGACTTCAACATGTCATGTGTTTTACTTTTGTGGGGTGGCAGACTGGGAAGGGAGTGCACATGACAGTCGGATTTTCTCCTTTGCTACTAAGAATAAATCGCAGTGTTTCCCTCACCTCTCATCAGGTTAGTTTTATTTTCCAATTTGTATATGTTATATATGTTAGAATGTAATGTTTTTAATAACATTGTTTTCGTACCAGAAAAATATTATCTGGTCGATGCAGGATATCCCATGCAAAGGGGATACCTGAAGCCCTACCCTAACACAAGATATCATATTCCTAATTTCGAGTGAGGTAGTGGCACAGTACGTGGCAGAAAGAAAATGTTTAATAAACGCCACTCATCTTTACGCGAGGTAATTGAAAGAACATTTGGAGTTTGGAAGAAGAAGTGGGTCATCTTACGTGATATATCGTCGTATTCTTTTTAAAAACAGGTGCATATTGTGGTTGCAACAATGACACTACATAACTTCATCCGAAGATATTCGTCGCGATCAGATACAGACTTCATTATGGTTGATAATGATGAACTGAATGTCTTCGAGCAACCTACAGGACTTATGGGGGGCATTCATTACCTGAGGATAATATAGAACAGAGGATGATATAGAATCTAATGAATTTAGAGATCAGGAAGGTGAAGGTTTGGCTAATATGATTGCTTTAAGGAATCTACCAAGTTTTCCTTTAATAAGATTATAGGTTTATATTCATATGCATTTAATTTTGGTTATTTTTAAAATATCTTAAGCTGACATTTGATTCTTTTGTTATTTTTGCAGTTATACAAACATGACTTCCAGGATATCAGGTACAGACAGAGGGATTTTGTGTTATTGTGGACTACCGTCTCCATTGCTAACGTTACGTAAGGAGCATAGCTTTGGGAGGCAGTTCTATGGTTGTGCCAGAGGTGTTTCAGCTCATTGCGGTTTCTTCCGGTGGGCTGATAGTCCCACATATTACACTTCCAGTAGTCATGCCAGCAGTCATGTGAATCTGATATTTTCTCAGGCTGATAATGCAGATGAGGACCGACGTAGCTAGAGTCTGAAGTTAAATATTTTGATATTTATCCTTGTTGTTGTACTTGTATATGTACTTTTTTAGTTCTCCTAGCACTCGTTATGATGTGAGAATTGTATGATATCTTTTAGAATTGATCTGTCATTATCGTATGTTTATGCACAATATGTTTTTTTTCTACCAATAAGCTATTATGAATAAGCTGCCTCAAACAGTTTTATTAGATAGGAACAGGAATGTCATTTAAACACCAATAAGTTAGTCTGAATAAGCTGCCCCAAAGAGCAAACCAGATTATTCTGATAATCTGCAGATTATCAGATTATCAGAATAATCTGCTTATCAGCAGATTATAAATAATCCACAGCTGCGCCAAACAGAACCTTAATTACTTCATATTGCAAGGAGAAAGAAAAAAAAACCACTTACGAAGCATGGAGATAACAAAACAAAACATATTTATAAAACTTCAATTCAAAGTACAAAACTTTAAGGACAAAGATATAAATACTTATCTGGAATGTTCCCTCAAGCTCTCCTTTGAAGTTCTCCGACTTCTCTAACTCCAATAGCACTTACAAGACTCACAAACTCCAGAAATAAGAAAGAATCACAAAGAAAACTTCTCACACACTTAACACACTCACACACTATGAGACTGTCTAAATCCGACCCCCTTAGCCCTTTGGAATTAATCCATATTTATAGAGCTTCAAAAATGACTATGGGTTGCTTCAGACATCTCTTCAAAATTCGGTCTCATTAAATGAATCTTCTAGAGAGTAACTGTGACACCTAGACGCCCAACCGTCGTGCTTAGGCGCCAGCCAAGTTCTGCATTTGACGCCTAGGCGCCAGTTCCGTTGGGTTGGTACTTTTCTTATATTTAGCAAATTTTTGCTCCTTTATGATGTATTTTTTGCTTATTTTTGCTGTTAAACTCTTTTCTTGCACCTACAACCAAAAACATAAAAATATCCTTCATTAAAGCATAATATCCTCTAAAATTGAGCATAACATGTACATAAAAAATAGGTAATTTTAACGTGGTCAAGAAGAATGTTTAATTATCCTTTCTTCATTTTCATTGTGATGTGGTTCTTATGGTTTGCTAGGAGCTCCTCAAAGTTTGAGGGATATTGTCCTTCTGTTAAATCTGCTAAAACCAAAATTATGGCTTATTTGCATAAGGTTTTATTCTCTACATCTACCCCATCTCATCAGGGAAATAATGCTTCTATAGTGAAACCTATCCTATACAGATGGTTGGCACCACCCTGTGGCTGGCTAAAACTCAATGTTGATGGCATCTTTAAAAATGGGAAAGCTGCAACAGGTGGTTTTTTACGAAATCATAAGGGATTTGTGTGGGATTTTTATCATCCCCTTGATGTGCTAAATGCCCTCTTGAAGTTGAATTATGGGACACTTTCTTGACAATAACCATTGTAGCTGGTCCAAATTGGTGCTTCTTAGTTTGTCAATCTGATTCTAAATTGATGATTGATATTTCCCTTAGGAAAAAAAGCTATAGCGGGGTCTGCTCAATATTCTAAATAGGATATGATCTCTCATCTCTTATAGGAATTTTACAAAACATTGAAGTTTTACATTTAGAGAAGGAAATAAACCCACATATTGGCTTGCTAAAAAGGAGTGGATGTGGGTGTGCTTCCTAATGCTACTCTTAAAGCAATAATTGTTGGGGATGTTTTGGATTCTTCTCATATCAGATGTTAAAAAATGCATCTAGTTCCTATTAATATTGTACTGGCGCTAAGTACACGGATTTTCCACGTTTTCTACTATGTTACTCCTTTGCTTGCTTACGTTCTCTGCAAAATTGCTATGTGGAAATTGTACTGTGGGTTTTGTCCTGCTACATTGGGGATTATCTTTGGCTCACACACATGCCTAAGAGAAGTTTCTTCTCCCTTCTAGCTAAGTTTTGTTGCTCCTCTAACTTTGGGCAATCTGAATCTCATTTACTTTATCTGTTTTCCTTGAGCTAGTATCCTATTTACTCTCTACGTCTACAAGTTAAAGGAGTTTTTCCCCTTGGTGAAGGCTTTCTTGGAAACATGTTTGGTTTTGGAAGGATTGCTTTACTTGGATGGTTTTTAGATTTCTCATTTCTACCATGCTATTGTAATGCTATATTGTTTTTAACTGTACTTTTTTTTTTCAGCCTCAATGGTATGGAGGGCTCACACTTTGCTGTGTATATTGGTCTTTTGTTGCTACTTGTTGGGCCTTTTTCTATGGATGCAAGATGATTATGATATAGTTTCTTATCTTTTTGGCTGTTACCTGAGGATTTCTCCATGGTTCATGTATTCATTAATTGGATGGACCTAGGTCTTTTTTGTGGTGTCTGACTGTTTTTTTCAGTTATCTTTTAGAAAGGGCTTTCCTATTTTTGGTAACTCGGTTCTTTTATAGTTGCTTGGGGATTTTTTTGTCCTTTTGTCATGCTACCAGTTGGTATTTTTTTTGCCTCTGTTTTGTGGGCTGTTTTGTTGCTTATCCTGCCTCTCTAGATGTTCAATGTCTGGAACTGATGGTCTTGTTTGTACTTTGGAAGGATTTAAATGTTCTGTGCTCGAGCCATTTTCTATAGGTCTTTTGCTTCTTGCCTGTTGTTGTCTGTTATTACCTGCTGCTATGCATGTGGGTTTCCTTTTAGGTGGGCTATCATGTGGATTCAAGTGGAGACCTATCTTCCCTTTGCTGGAGCTAAATTCTCTGAGATGTTTTATGACAATCTGAGTTTTGGTGTGCTGAGGGTTTCCTTTTCTTGTCTACTATGTCATTCATCACTTAATTTTTGGGGTTGCTTCTATACTGACTGTGGAGTAAAGGTATACAACTTAAAATTCTCTATTTTTGGTTTTTGGGGTATACTTGTATGTTTTTTTTTTAGACCATTTTTTGTGTGTTGTACTGCTGGAGGAGAAACTCTTAGGCCTGAGTATTATATTTTTGAGTTTTAGTAGTCGGGCTTTACTTCAACACCCCATTGTATCCCCTATTTTTGATGATATAAAAGTATCCTCGAGTTTTCCTAAAGTAAAGAGAATATATATATATATATATATCTAAACTAAGAATACTCTGTCTTTAGCCCACTCTCTCTGGCTTGGGATGTCTTCTCTTCTCCATTTCTCACCCGCAAAACCTCCACAAAACCCCTCTATTTCACCTTCCCAATCCAAATGGAGCGGCCTCCGCAAACTGCTCCCCCGTCATCCTCCCCACCCCATAACCCGAAACCTAATCTCAAAACCCCCATTACTTATCTTCTCCAATCTCAAAGAACCACCTTTCCCGCTGTTCCACCACCACCCCACTCCTCTCTCAAACAACTCCTCCTTCTCCACCGTCACCTACGCCGGACGCAGCAAGAAAAAGCCCGGAGGCCCCTCTCCCGGCCGCATCGAGGGAAGCGGCGCGCCCCGCCGCGCCGCCACCGAACACGCCCGCCGCCCCCCCGCGGAAGCGGCGAGCTCCGCCGCGTCGCCAAGGAAAACGCCCGCCGCCGCTCCCGGCGAATTGCCGAAAACCGCTTCTTCCGCCGCTCCCGCTCCGCCGCCGAGCAAGCCGACTCCTTTACTGAGGATGAACTGGAGATGATTGGCCTCGGCTACGATCGCGCCGTCCGATTCATGTCGAAGGATCACCCCATGCTTCGACACCCCCATGACTGGTACAAGTACGGCCGATACGGCCCTTACTCCTGGAGAGGAATTGTCGTCGGCCCCCCCATCCGCGGCCGCTTCACCGACGAGCGCGTCAGCATCATCGGCGAGGTTCGCGATCACGAAGAGTTTGAGAAGATTGAACAGTTCGAGATGGCCAATGACTACTCCCGCCATGTCCTGGATCTCAATCCCTCCGTTGGCCGTCGCCTTTACTGGGTTTTTGTCCGACATCCAAAATGGAGGTCCAGCGAGCTCCCATGGCAGCAGTGGACTCTGGTCTCCGAGGTTGCGGTTGAGGCCGGCGAGAAGGATTGGATTGATAAATGGAGCTTGATGGGTCGATTAGGGAACAGAAGTCGAGCATATGTCACTCAGTGCGCAGCTTGGATGAGACCTGATATCATTTATGTTAAGAAGCCGCTTTATCAGTGCCGTTTTGAGCCCCAAGACGAGTTTTTTAAGCAGCTATGGCCGCTGCTGGATCCGAACACAGAGAACCAGTTTAAATTCGAGCTGAGGAGAGAGGAAAAAGGTAGGGTTTTTGTGGAGGACTGCACCTACTTTGGTGGGCTGTGTAAGATTGTCAAGATTAGTTCTAAAGCCTATGTGGATGATGTGGTGAATGCTTATCAGAAGTTGAGTGAGGAAGGAAAATCACAGTGCTTGGAGTTCTTACTGAGGAACCATCCAGTGGAGTTACTTCACCCTTACACTAAGGAATGGAAGGCGAAGTTAGAGGAGATGGAGTTGGGTTGTGATGCGCCTGATGAGAGTGATGATGATGGTGGTGGCAACGAAGAAGAAGAAATTGCTGAATGGATTGAGGATGATGACTCTGGTGGTGATTATGAAGATGATGAGGAGGAGGGGGAGGAGGATTATGTTTTTGAGGCTTCAGGAGGGTATGATGAAGTGATTGATGCGGGTGAAGAAGAAGAAGATAATGATGAAGAAGAGAGAATAGATCCTGAAGAAACTCGGGAATACTGGGATGAGCAATGGGAGAAGGCGCTGAGGAGCTCGCAGACAATGGAGGAAATGGTGAAAAAGAGGCTTGATGCATCTGAAAAGAGCTACAAGAGGAAGATGGAGGAGGCGAGTATGAAAGAGGACGAAAACTATGAATCAATTCAGAGCAATGTGAATGCAGAATTGGAGCAGATTAAAGCGGAATGGAAGAAAGAGGAGTTCAAATGGGCCAAAAGGAAGGTAAAGAAAGGAAAGTTGCCTCCTGAGCTGTTCCTAAAATCTGCTGTCAGGCCGTTTACCTACCGAAATCTTGTTAAAGAGATTGTTTTGATGAGACATGCTATTATCGATGGGGATATTAGTTTAAAAACCTGAGTAAAGCACAATTTTTGTGGATTTTTTTGTTATTAATGGAGAAGAACACGCATTTGTTATCTGGCTGCTTCAAATCATGTGGAACAGAAATTTTGAATCGGATTTATTAAAGTAGAAGCTACTGAAAATCTGATTGCTTGCTTATCAGTGTGTTGAGTTAGGAAAACATATATTAAGGGCTCGTTTGGCGCCACATTTTTCAGGCGGCGCGGTCAGAAAATGCACATTGACCTGTTTCGTTATCGCGTCACAGCGGCATTGTTTTGAATTTTTTTTTTAAAACGCGGCCACAGGTTTGACTACACGGCCCGCATTTCTCCTTTCTCAACCGCAAACACATTTACCCTCATGGCCTCTTCTCATGTTACCGGTCTTTTTCAACCCTGCTCCCTCTCCCGCAATTCTTCTGCCCTGGGTATATATCTCTCATGGATCCGTGGCTCCGGTGGCTATTTTCGGTTGTGAGTGGGTATTCCGGTGACCCTTATATACTTCTCACTCTCCCGCTCTTTTCATCTGCTTGAATTTTGATGGTTTGTGCACTCTATGCTCTGTGTGGTGGAGGTAGTACTTCGGTTTGATAGATCACTTTGGTTGGTTGCTATTCCGTAGAAGTGTGTATTCTCTCATTCCTTCTACCTTTTCTTCTTTAGCTCGGTTTGGTCATCATGTGGTGTTCCCTTTTCTTCGTGTCTTCTCTGTTCTTCACATTTTTTCTCTCTTTTCTGTGTGGTTATGCGCACTATGTTGGTTGGTTTAATCTTTTAACTTGGTTTTGGTGGTTCTTTGTTTGCTCATTTTTTTGTGGTTTTCAATTTGATATGCTCGGTTATGTGATTTTGATGCTTCATGTTGCATCCAAACGGGTTTTGGTTTATGCCTTAGATGTAATTTTGCTTGGATTATTGTTTTACCGTGATCTTTGGATTTTTGATGCTTTACTTTGTTAGCAATGCTTCGGGTCTCCTGTATGCCGTATGTTCGATTTCTTTTGTTGTTTTTGCTATGGGGAATTTGGATATCTTTATGAACTTTGATATTTCAGTGGGGAATTTGAAAATTGGATGAAATTGTTGCTGGATTTGTTAATGGTAATATTTCGGGTGCTTTGTATATGTTAAGTATGGGCTGAGAAAATGAATTTTGAATTTCAATGGAAATTTCATGCTGAATTTGTATGTTGCTATTTCCAATTTCACTGGAATTTTAGTGGGAAAATTGGTGTGTAGTGTGGAGATTGTGGTGTGGTGTGGTTTGTGGATGTGTTGGTGTGTGGTTTGGAGTTTGTGATGTCGTGTGTCGATGTGTTTATGTCGATGTGTTGGTGTGGTGGTGTTTGGGAGGTTGTGTGGTGTGGATGTTGTGGTGTAGGATAGTTATATGGTGTGAAGATGGTGGTGTGGAGTGTTGAGGTGTTGGTGTAGGGTGATTGTGGGATGAGTAGGTAGTGGTGTGGCTTGTGGATGTGTTGGTGTATAGGTTTGAGTTTGTGATGTGGTGTGGTTTGTCGATGTGTTGATGTGGTGTGTGAATGTGTTGGTGTGGTGTGGAGGTGGTGGTGTAGGGTGATTGTGTGCCGTGGAGGTGGTGGTGTGGTTGTGGATGTGTTGGTGTGTGGCTTGGAGTTTGTGGTGTATTGTGTGGAGATGTTGGTGTGATAGTGTTAGGTGGTTGTGTGGTGTGGAGGTGGTGGTGTATGGATATGTTGGTGTGGTGTGTGGATGTGTTGGTGTGATGTGGAGGTGGTGCTGTATGGATGTATTGGTGTGGTGTGATGTGTTGGTGTGGTATCGAGATGGTAGTGTAGGAGAGTTGTGTTGTTTGTGGATGTGTTGGTGTGTGGCTTGGAGTTTGTGGTGTGGTGTGTGTGGAGGTTGTGGTGTGGGAGACTTGTGTGGCGCGGAAAACTCCCTCGTGAGTGGGAGAGGTGGACTGACCCGACCTGTCCAATTGGGGGCCGGTCCAAGGTGATCCCAAACTGAGTGGCCCGGGCAAGGATTCTAACCAAGTGCCTCCCATGCCCCTCCCCGGCTTCCTTTTATGCTTCTTCCCCTCAGTGAAGGATTTTAATAGCCATTCTGAGTACTCACACCCTTTCTTTTGGAGGAGTTTCCTTTCTTCCTCCTTACTTTCTCCTCTTCTTTCTTGTTTCTCGCCTAGCTAGGGCTATATGTATGCTGGTTAGCTAAGAGTCTAAGGAGTTTTTGCTGTGAGTTGATATCCGATTTTCTGTGTGGAATCATTTTCCCTATTTTGGTGTGTATCCAAGGAGGTGGTGGTACTCTGGTTGTATCATATTCTGAGGTGGTGATTGTATCTCCTCTTTTTACCTTCCCTACTTCGTCTCCTCCGCTTCTCTTAGCCGGTGACCATCCCCAACCGCTTCCCCCCTGAACTGCCGATCCTGTTTACGTTGTAGCAATCTGTTGTCCAGCCCGTTCAGACCCCTCCCGACATCTCGCCGACACCCATACAACCGTTAGCTTGTTATCCCAGATCTTTCACATTGCTGCCCTTGCTGTTCCGCACCTTATAGTCACCAATCCGCCTGCCGCCAACCACCTAAAACCTTCTATTCTTGTTGTCCTCACAATTCCACACACTTCCCTTACCGCCATCAGCCATCCCTTGTTGCCACCATCATCCCTGCCAACCATCCTGAACCATATAGCCGCCACCACCACCCTTGAAATACACCTTAGACGTGTTTGTTTGTGTTGGTTTATGTTTTAGTGATGCTATTTTCAGTTTGAGTGTATTGTTACTCTATTTCCATATTAATAAAAGTTGTTCTTGTGGTTTGGGTCTTTCTTCTTCAGTATCATTACTGACGTGGGGCTCATGGAGGACCGGCCGGTCCTCTTGGAGGGGTGGGGGGGAGCTTTCCTAATCCAATTCATTTCCTAAATGCCTAGATCCTGATTTTATTCTCCTTCCTTCATTTAAACATTTTCTAAAATTTGAGTTCTTGATTTTATTTTTATTTTCCTTTCTTAATTTTAATGTTTTCTAATTTAGGGTATTTATTAATAGGAATTGAAGTGTCTATAGTTAGGGGGTCTTGATTTTGAAATTTGAATTCAGGGTTTAACCTTCGTATTTTCCTTTTGAAGGTTGTATCTGCTTTGAATATTCCTGGTTTGAGGTGTTGATTGTCTCCACAGGTCCAGGTGGTGCTCCGGCTATATTCCTCGTTGGAGGTGTTGTTTGTCTCCACAGGTCCAGGTGGTGCTCCGCTATAGCTCGGCCTCCACCGAGATGCTTATCTCTCCTTCTTTCCTGCTGCCTACCATACTTTCCGCAGCTTCCCGCACCCAGCCATCATCCCTGCAGATCTCGTTCCCCTTCCCTACTGCCTCACCATCCCTGCTGCCCACCTGCAGCCAACAAGCTCCGTCCCTTCCCCAAACTGCTGCAACAGCCCCTGCTCATTCCTGCACTACGATAACCGGGATTTCCTCCTCTTCTGTGAGATCCAGCCAGCACTGTTCTCTGCCGTGAAGTCCAAAAAATGCTGCTGCCGCTGCTCTGCCTTCCCGTGTTCCGCCTCTTTTTATCAAGCAACACCACCACCGCTCCTCTCCACCTGCCGCCATAGTCCCCACTCCGGCACGCCTACTGCAGCCAGCCAACTCCCACTGTGCCGGCCCGCTTGCATCCTTGCAGACCACCACTGCTCCTGCTGCCTTTCAGCAACAGCAGGCTTCCTTCCGGACAACCAGCACTCGCCTCGCCTCCTCCCTGCTGCCCTCCCTGCTTCCTTCAGCTGCAGTTCGACGCTCCTACTACTGCTGATTTGCTGTCCACCTTCCTTCCTAGCCACCAACACCTCTCCGGCCTTCATCGCTAGAGAGACTATTCTAGAAATCATAACACATTTAAATATAGACTCGAGAAGTCGAATATAGTCGATGTATACATTAGATTTTTCTCTAAATTTAAAAAATGGGATAATTATAATTCATGAATCTACCTCCAAAAAAAATTTTGAAGGTAAAAAAATGATATATATTGATCAAATTTTGATTGAATTTATGTCCATTTTATACCAAAGTCCATTATGATGATACAACCAACAACAAACCTCCTCAACATTTTACAGAGCATAAGGACATCCCTAAATTTTTTTCTTCAAACAACTTTAATAAAATTCCACTCCATATAACTTGCTTTTGGTCCAAAGAAATTGGAAAATCAATACAATTCCAAAAATTGATAATTGTTCTTCATATTACAATCAATCTCAACTCTGAATTTATCAGATTTACATCCACAACCCCCTGATGCACACATTCCTCTCCTTCAACAATCATCATTCTGCAATCTTCACCTTCTGAAATCTAAAATTATACAAATATTTCAAAATCTCAGATCCATAATCAAAGCAGGTCAGATCAGCATCAGCTTAGAAATGCTAAATCTGATGCTCTGTCACACAGGTTTGGGTAAAATCTGCTCAAAATCGAAGACCTCAAACATCAGACGCCTGACATCAGGTTTCCCATAGACGCAGTAAGACAGGCCATGAATCGCCCTGCTGACCCGCCGTCGAAGTTGGATTTCGTAGCCGGCGATTATGCTCATACTTGTCCTGAACTGCTTCGTTATATATGATCAATCGGTGGAGATGCATTTCTCGCAAATATCGGCCACAGAACTTGTTCATCATGAGACGTCTGTGCTTCTCTTGAAGCCACTTTCCAGGCGCATCAAGATGCTTCATCAGCAATCTCTCAGCCATCACAAGATCCTGATGAAGTATCGGATGCATGAAGGGCTCTGTAGAATTTTAAAATGGTGGTGAATGAGGATGAGGATTACCTGTATCTTTTGTCCGACATATTCCAACCGCTCGAAGCAGAATCGAGGGTGCTCGAACTTGTACTTCGATGGATGCAAGAAGCAGAGCTGTGATTAATATAAAATCTATGAGGGACCATGGTTCAGAGTCTTGTGCCTCAGAGAAGCAAGTGAATTTGTGTTGATATATGGTTTGTTTATGTGCATTTATTTTGATAATTGAACAAGCAGCAACAAAATTTTGAGGGAAATTTACACATAGCACACACCTCCTGTGTATTTTACACAGCTCATACATAAGCTTTCATAATTACATATATAGCACATTGGTACTTTAAAACTACGTACGAAAAAATGTATTTCATTTTTGAGAAGTGGTAATAGTGCTATTTTTTTAATGTGATATTAAAGATTTGACTGCTAAGTGTGTAAATATGAAAGTTTAGATGTGAGATATGCAAATACATAAGAATTGTGTGCCATGTATGTAAATGCCTCAGGTTGTAAAGCTCGATATCTAAATGAACATGCGCAAACATTACATGCTTGTTTATTTGTGATCATGAACATGCTAGCTTGTTATTTAATAAAAAGCAAGTAAAGACTCGGTAAAGGGCTCATTTAAATATGGTTTAATCTGCCTTTTAATATATATATAGAAAGACAGTTAGTTAATTAGGCTTGTTTACGGTTCAAACTCGATAAGCAATAAACATGCTTGAACAAGATTTGAAACTATATCATAGTCAAGTTCAATTCAAGTTTGAAAAGAAAATAATAGACAAGCTTGAACATTATAGCACTTGGTACTTAGTTCAAATTGAATAATAACTTCTGAAATATATTTTCAAAAACTTCCAACATATTTTTGGCATAAATCTTTTCATCTTGATGTGATATATTATAAAAAAAAATTAAAAATAACATGAGATATTTTCTCTATATTCTCGAAATTTAGTGCTACTAATCAATCCATAATACGTATTTTCTAATGTTTTATTATCCTCTCATCCCTTTCCAGGGTATTAATTATAAGCTTGAATATCTCCTTTGCTCACAAATATTGAGTCAATGTTTAATCTTCAATCATTAGACAACGTCTTAATCTTTAACATTCCCCACAACATCTACACATCTAAATCTTTACTTTTATACATCTTCAAAACAAACTCAGCTTCTCTTTGTTAGACTAATCCATAGTTTGCTTCTTGAACCCATTGCTTTTGCTTTTAAAAAAAAGTGCCAAAATAGTCCACTGACTATTTACATGAGGTCGTTTTAATTCCACAATTTATAAAAGCGTCAAATTAGTTATCAGATGAAATAGTCCACAGGGTGAACCATTTTAGCCCCCATTAATAAATTTGGGACTAATTTGACACTTTTATAGACTCTAGGACTAAAATGGACCTCTATAAAGAATCAAAGGACCATTTTGATAATTTTCTCTTCTCGAAACATTTCCTACTTATTCTCTATTTCTCTCATCTGTTTACATATTTAATTATCACATGAACTATAAACTTTACACATTTACCTTGATTAAAGGTTCTAAATTTTTATCTCTTTTCCTCAGCCATTTATATTCTTAACATTCTTCTTCCTAAACACCTCAGCAAGCACACAAATCACCAAAACTCGCAATTTTCAATTTCAAACTTAATCACCAAGAGTTCATACTGATACCAGCATCACATTGAATCAGAAGCTCAAGCTAGGTACCTGCAACCCCAATCCAAGCTCGATGTTCCTCGCTTCAGTGATCTCCGGAACTCTATCTGTCATCTGCAGAGGATATCCAAGCACTTCCATAACCTTCGGCCTGCAATCAAAATCCCAAATGTTGCCACGGAAACGATGCATTCCTGGTGGAACACATGCCCTGAAAAGCCTTGGATGAGCGAAAAGTGCATCTTGTGGAGGCTGGAGAAGAGACGAAAAAGCCATGAAGCTACTCAGTTAACTATCAAGTAATAACAAGCAGAAAGAAAAAGAAGTCCCCATTTATTATACCTTATACGCAGCGACCTCTTGCCAGCCGAGTTGACGGCCTTCAAATTCGACTGAAACGTAATCTACGTCTTCTAGTTGTCGTCTGAGTTTCGGTTGGCAGTTCTCGTCCTCTGGATCCATTCCGAAGGCCTCGAAGAGGATGCGGTAAACTTCAGGCATGCCGAAGCATAGATAAATGGCTCCAAACAATGCCCAGAATACAGATCTGACCAGAAAGAAGGTGCAGAAGAAATAGTTAAGGCGGTGAAAACAATATGTCTGAAGCCTCAATGCAATATAAAGTTGGGGGAGATATAGAAGACGATATATCATTTACTATGTAACGCATAATAATATGGAAGATTTACAAAGATACCACTCAATTCTTACATATATGCCACCACCTCTCCTATGCATTAAATGGTGTATTCCACTTTTTAAAAGGTAAAAAGTTGATATTTTTGATGCGATATGGAAGATTGAGTGGTCTAACTGTAAAAAGTTTAGGAGTGAGACATGTAAATACATAAGAATTGGGTTATATGTATATAAAAGAAACTTTAGTTGGACGAGAAAGCAGTTTGGTCAGAATTTTGTTGGTAGACGTTCAACTGCAGAAATGCCAAATATACATCCATCTACACGACTTAGATGTGAAGGCTTATGGGTTGCAACCTTGTGTTCATTAGATGAAGAAAATATAGGATAAATAATGCACAGGTTTGGCTACTTAAATCAAACATTAAATATTAATTAAACTCTTAAAATAAAGCTGTGCTTGAGTTATCATCATCATCATATCAGTTACCCAAGTTTCAACTAATTGGAGTCTGCGTCCTCTACTTCGGGCAAAGCACTATCGTTTGGGTCCTCATCCTCAGCATCTTCGAAGCTTCCTTCTTCAAAAATTGAGTGTGAAGTCTTTGACTTCGGTAAATATCACCATGTTTCCTTCCCATCTTCACATCGTAATGCACTTTCTAATTTGGTAAAACATCTAGGGATTAATTTCAGTGCCTACTGATTTATTTTTGTTATTTTGTCACTTTCATTGATAGCCAAATTAGCGTTATTTGGGTTTATTTGTTAAGTGTTGATCTAGTCTTGTTTATATTCAAACTATTCTATCAAGAATTAAAAATACATATTTCTAGTAAAATTTATACTCTTGCATTGATAATGCTATTGGATAAATGGGAGTTTCATTCTACTTTTTATGTGTCGAGAATGGTCTTATGCATCAATTATCATGTCAAAATACATCTCAACAAAATGGAAATTTTAATTGTAAGGATTATCATCTGTCGATATTGTTCGCAGCATAATATTTCATGTGTTCTATTCTTTATTATGACAATTCTCTTTTTCACTCCAACCTCAAGTCTACAACCATGTGTAATTTGTTCATTTTCTTTGCCCAGACAGTGATAAACTTTCTTATCAAGTCATTTGATGTTGTTTTTTCGGTTATTCTCATCATTGAAAAGAAAGATATTAATGTTACAATCCTTCTGAGGAAAGATGATATATCTATCGATGTTGCCTTGCAAGAGGCCTCACCTCTCACACTCACACTCATCTCCTACCCACAATCATTTGTCTGCTCATCTACCACATTTAGTCACGATGTATGTATCCCTGTTGCATGGTCACAATCACAACCCACAATGTCTCTTTCTGAAGTATCTTATGTTATCTCATCAACTAAGACTGAGCATCTGACTATCATTGAGCTCTCAAATTTATATTTTCTGATTGCCCTCTGGAAAGGTAAACACCAAATCACTAATCATCTAGTATGCTCTTTCCTTTCCTTTGAGCATTTATCCCTTTTATTTAGATTGCTTTGTCTTTACCCAATTTCTCTATTCTCAGAGCATATCAGGAAGCTTTATTCGAATCTAATTAGAAGAAATGCCATAAACAATGAAATAGGAGCTATTCATCACGACCCCTCTTAGGACTAAACCCATCTCTTATCGATACTTCTTCACTATTAAATTATATTATAATGGCTATATCAATTGCTAAATGCTTCAAATGGTAACAAAAGGATATAGTCAAGAGAATGACATTAACAACTCTAAAATTTTTTTCCCCTGATGGCTTGTTTATTTTCATCTTCTTCTCTTTATTATCATTTATGAGGGTTAGCATATGCTCCAAATGGATGTCAACAATACATTTGTCTATGAAGTTCTTCGAAGCCATTTATGCTAAGCTATTTAACAGTAATGTCCTAAAGGGGTGAAAAAAGCACACAAACTTAAAAAGCTATATATAAATTAAAACAATATAATTGCTAATCATTCCATCTTTACTTAATTTTTTTTCTTTGGCAAGATTATTCTTGCATGTATGTTGCCCTCATTTCATTCATTAAGAGTGATATTTAAAACATCATTGAAATATAATTATATCTTTAAAAGAAATTATTTTTCAAGGAAATAGGGCACCATTTTGCAAGAAGGTATTTCTCTTTTTTAGAAAAAATTATGCCACACTCTTGAAGAAATTAGCATTCTTGGATTCCAATATGCTAACTCTCTAATGGACTAGATATTCTGCAAATATTAGGGAATACAAGGACATTGAAGATGCTTTTGTAAGCTAATAAGCTTAGCTATTTTATAGCCACTAGACTTGGAATGTCTTTTGCTGTTGTTATAATCAATCAACAAATGAAAAATCAGAAGAATAATAATAAGAGTTTATCCTAGAATTTTAAAATATGTCAAGAAATCCCTTGATAAAGGATATATCTATCCGAGAAATAAAGATTTGATTCGAGTATTGAAGCTTATGCAAATGATGTTGAGTATTTTTTAAGATAGAAAATTAATTTTTAGATATCTTGCTTTTGTTGGTGTACATATTATATCATGGAGGAGCGAGAAATAAGTAATATTGACCAAATCAAGTGTTAAAGCAAAATAGAAGGTAAGGACTTATGCTATCTATGATTCTTTTAGAATAATTTGACTTTCTTTTTACATGGCTTACGGATTTATACAATGATAATCATTCCGCAATATACATCGCTAGTAATCCTGACTTTATAAAAGAACCAAACATGTCCACAGTTAACCATAACTTTATCAAAAATAATGTCATATTAAAGAAACCATTTTCTGCCAATATCTTATTATCTTCACTGTTAAATCCTAACGAACAAAACTTGATATTATATATCTTTATTCTCTATTCTTATTCCTTAACCTTCTATACAAACGCTTAGGAGATTTACCTTTGCTTTCTTTGATACCTCCAGCAAGTATTCCAACTTTTTAATAGTTATTGCATTTGATATAAATTTTTCTTCTTTTAATTCTTTAAAAGCATAGTTCTAATTTTAGTAACCAATTATAAATCCCAACTCCACCACCAATTGCCTTGAATTTTGTAAGTCACACAACTCACCTCAAACTTTAAAGCAATCTTCATAATATAACTATTAATTTATCCTATCACAACTAGTTATAAATTTCAATTCCCTCTTGCAACAATCAATTTTGCAATAATAACATCTTCTCACCCTATGATCTCCAATATCTCATCCCATGCTAATTATCTATTTTGATAACCAACATATAACTCCAAAACTTACATCCATAACAGCAACCACACAATCAATAGAAATGCAATGCGGTACATTATTTTTTATGATTTTTTTTCCTTTAGTACGTAATAGTCTTTGTGCTTTAACAACTCATGCAACCACACAATCAATAGAAATGTATTAATTTTTGCATTTCTATCCGCTATTCCATTGAAATCCCGAAAATAATATTAATTTTCAACCTCGATTAAGAAGTAGAAAGGATTCAATAGATAAAAGTGATTCCACAAAGCATTTCATAAACATTAAACCAAGCAAATCAACTTACTTCACAGGCGGTTCCCTTTCCTTGCGAATCATCTTCTCCATCTCATCATAAGGAAACACCAGATTCTGCAAGCTGGCAGCTTTGATCCATTTGGGCATAACATTCTTCCCAGTCAAAGCGTACACCCTCTCCCTCATCGGTCCAGGCGACTCCCTCGGATACTTTTGCAGGAAGAACTCTGCAAATGCGAGCTCAATCACATACTGCCCCAGAAACCAGAGCCTGGAATGCCCATGCCTGATATGCCTCGCCTTGGTTCTCTCACCCTCACCAAACGGATGCTGAAATGCCAAATACAGCAAAGTATCGAATTGCTTGGCGGGGTTATCATCTCCGAGCTTCTCCGAAGGTTCAAGAGGATAACCTAGGGCCTGCTTGGCCTCGAGAAGATACTCATCAATCCAAGTCCGGTCGGCATTGTTGAGGCGAGAAGGCGGGAGGCAGGAGCTCAGCAGAGGAAAGGACTTGAGGGAGAGCTGTGGGCTGTTGAGGAACCTCTGTGTGAGCTTGGCGTCGTCGAGAGGAGGTTTGAGAATGAATCTTCGGGGAGGGATTTTCTTCTTGGGTGAAGTGACCTTCTTGTGCTCCGCTAGCTCTTTCAGGAGGCGCTGCGGGCTGTTGGCTGGCGTGGTGGGTAGGGTTAGGATTTTTTGCGGCGGGGTGGATGGATCGCCGGAGACGGCGATGGCGCGGATTGAGATGGAAATGGGGGAGAATTTGAGGGGTCTGAATTGGGATTTGAGGGGAAAAGAGGAGATGGAGGAGGAGAAGGAGAGCTCTGTTGATGCGCTTGGGCGGGGTGGAAAGGTTAGTCCGGACGAAGTCATGGATCAAAATCGGATTTTGCAGAGCAATCAGCGATTTTCGACAGCGGCTTACTTCGGGCTTTAAGAAAAATAAGCAATGCAGGAGATAAGAGACGGGTAGTGAAAGGAGGAACTATTGCTATAAGATATGCTGGAGCTGTAACTTAATTAAAAGTATTTTAGTTAATTATTAATAAATAAATTATCATTCTAATTTAATGTAATCACTTTGATGTGATCGTTAAATTAGAAACAATACATTTTATTGATTAATATTTTTAATTAATTAATAATGATTATGAAGAAAAATTTATTTATTTATTCAACTTTAACTTTTCTTACTAATTAATAAATTTAATTACTTAAATAATGTGTAAACAAAAAATAGTGTTTTACATACATACCAATCAAAATATTGTAATTTACACTTGCAACAATTATAATTACATACATCTTCATTTTCGCCAAAAAGCGTCGCGTCGTCAAAAGTCCTTCAAAACCGTCTTCTTATTGTTGTTGCCTCGCTCTAATCTCAAGTGGTTGTATGGTTGTAAGTAGGATTTATTTTAAATAGGATTTAGTAAAATCTGTAAACCTGAATTTATCAAATTCTAAGATGGTTATATCTTGAAAAATGTTTGAAATTATAGAAATTAAATATTAGAAAAATATTTGGAAGTTTTAAAAGAATTTGACAGGATTTATTAAACTTTTAAAAATAAATATTAAATAAAATAAATAAATAAATATTCAAGACCTCAAAATATATAAAAAAAGAAGAAGCATTTACATGAATTAATAGTTAGTTATATAAATTAATAATTATTTTTTAAACTAATTACTAAGCAATCATTAATTTAACATTAATAAGTTATTAATTATATAAATTAATAATGAGTTATAATTTTATTTATTAATTAAATATTAAACAATTACATATAAATTTATCCAATCATAATTAATTTGATTATATATAAATTATTTATTAATTATTAAACAATTAAAATAATAAAATTAAGTTAAATTAAAAATAATAATAATAATAATAATAATAATAAAACCACAAACCTATCTTTTACATCCTCCCCCTCCCGGCCCATCTCTGCCAAAAAACCCTCGCCTATGTCACTCGCCCTTTACTGGTTTGGCCCAAAGCCATCGCCTGCGTGAACGAACCTTCGCCATTAGAGCTAGCTGGGAAGGAAACGACCGGATCCCGACTTACAGAGAGCAACGAAACTCCCATCTCTCTTGTCCTTCCTCTCCGCTCCTACCAGAAACCATTGAGGAAGGTAAGCCTTTTCGCGCCATTCTTTCTTTTGGCTCACCCCGGACGATTCACAGGATTTAGTAAATCCTGGATTGAAAGCGCAAATAGGCGTTATTTGGGAATTTACGGGAGCTCAGAATATACGGGTGCCAAGATTTTTAAGGCTAAACGAAGGAAAAAACGGGATTTTTAGGTTAGATCCATCGTAAATCCTGCTACCAAACAGCCCCGTAAGGAGAAAATTAAATTATGAGAGTATAGCGAACGGAGAATGGCATATGGAAGATGAAGCTCAAGTGTGCTTCTGGGAAGATAAGGAGAGAGAGTGCACAGCTGGTCTAAAAATATCAGCTTTGGCACTAGTTGTGACCTGAATCAGAATGGGGACACATTTGTTCATTAAGCTTCATTGTTTTTTTATGTAAGAGAAAATTAAATTAAATAAAATTCAAATTATATATATAGATATATTATAGATCTCCTTATCGGGCTGTTTCGTAGCAGGATTTAAGTTAAATCCTCATTGTTAAAAGATGGGTTATGTAATTCATACTCTTATGTTAAAAAATGTTTTCGTATAGATGTCCGATGATAATGTGGCTACTAAAAGCCACAATCAAAAAAATTCAGTCAGCAACTCATCATCAGCATCTGAGATTGACATGTCTTGGAGTGAAGTTCTTGCAAACATAATGCACCAAGCATCAATATATGGAATAGCAGCCGGGTACTGCATCTCTGCCTCACTTCTCTCAATCATCAACAAATGGGCTCTCATGAAGTTCCCCTACCCCGGCGCCTTAACCGCCCTACAATACCTCACCAGCGCCCTTGGAGTCCTGCTCTGTGGTCGGCTAAACCTCCTTGATCATAACAAACTCGATCTCTCAACAATGTTGAAATTCTTACCCGCCGCCGTCATCTTCTACCTCTCCCTCTTCACCAACAGCGAACTTCTTCTCCATGCCAATGTTGACACATTCATTGTGTTTCGATCCGTCGTCCCCATGTTCGTCGCCGTCGGCGAAACTCTCTTTTTGATGCAGCCGTGGCCTTCTCTCTCGACCTGGCTTTCGCTAACCACGATTTTCGTCGGCAGTCTCATTTACGTCCTCACCGACTATCAGTTCAACTTGACTGCCTACGGTTGGGCCGCCGCATATCTTCTGAGCATGTCGATTGATTTTGTTTACATCAAACATGTAGTCATGACGATCGGTCTCAACACTTGGGGACTTGTTCTCTACAACAATCTTGAAGCCCTCTTGTTGTTTCCCCTTGAGTTGGTTGTTATGGGGGAGCTGAAGAAGATAAAACACGAGATTGTCAATGAGTCAGAGTGGTTTTCTGTCGGTGTGATTCTGCCGGTCGGGCTCTCGTGCTTGTTTGGTGTAGCCATTTCATTCTTCGGTTTCTCGTGTCGTCGGGCGATATCCGCCACAGGTTTCACAGTGCTTGGCATTGTCAACAAGCTTCTGACTGTGGTTATAAATCTGATGATATGGGATAAACATTCAACCCTGATTGGAACGATCGGGTTGCTCATATGCATGCTCGGCGGAGTTCTTTACCAGCAATCTACGTCGAAGCCAAAGGCGGCAGAAGTTCGAGTTGAGTCCGGGCTGGAGGATGAAGAACAACAGATGCTTATGGAGATGAAGGTTGAAGTTGAGCTGGATAAGAGCCAGGGAATTGTTGATGAAGAGAACAAATAAGGATTTTAAGGCTTTTTTTATGATCTGTTTGAAGTTAAGGTGGACATGGGCGCATTTTTTGATCAAATAAAGCTGTTGGAATTGGCAATCATTGTGTTGTTTCATGACTCAGGGAGAGATTTTTGTCTCGCTTTATTTCAGTATATTATGCCAAGACTGAAACAGAAATTCTCTTGACTAAATATTTGTTGTAAATGGATTCCATTTTTCTCTTTGAAGAACAGGCTTTTGATCAAGTGATGTATCATGATAGTTTGTTTTTTGTGTAACTTGCACATCTAAATTCATATTATTTTATGATTAAACCATCTATACTGTGAAACACAGTTTTTTAACATGTAAATTTCTATTTTTAGAGATGGCTATAATTTCTATAAAATTTATAACTGTACAAAGTTGTATTATTGCAGCAATATCTGCTGTATTCTAACCGAAATTGTTTTGCTATTCTACCTAACAACTAATATTTGGCTACAATTTTTTTCATATTATTATGGTGAAGGATTCAACCATTCTATTTAATTTTTCCAATATTCTTGAACAATGTAAAAAAACGTGAGTTAAATTTTGTTTTCAGTATTTCTATTACTTCCAGCCCCTCAATATATATAAAATTTCAAAGTAATTTTAAATTTTGAATTATGGACATTTCAATATTATTTGATTGATAAGCTTAACCACAACAACAACAAAGCCTTAATTCCACTACGTGGGGTTAAAAAAGGATTAATGTCATGATTTTTTCGACAAGTTTTATGTTGGCTGTCGACTACTTAACGTAATTCCACTTTTCACATCCGGGCTTGGGACCGGCAACGGCAGTGTTTTATGGGTTTACATTAATTACAACTCATCTAAGCCACTGTTATTACATGTAGAATAATTGAAATTCATTTTTGTTCTTATATATATGAGTTATAAGGCCAAATAATAAAGCCAGAAAATTTCCATGACAGCTATAACAAAAATAAAGTTTACATATATACCACCTTTACGACATGGTGGAAAACTACTTCAAATATTATTATAGCACAAATTGCTTCTATAATTTATAGCACTACTTAACTATACATCCCAGAACTTCTACTTATACAATAAAGGACCAGATCTAGAAACAGCAAATCTAGGAAGGGGGCTCGGTCCCTGACCTGAAGAGCTCGAGCCCTCGACAAACTTCACCTTCCGGCTCGAAGTGTATTCCAATGGTCCTGATCGCCTCGTGTTCCGTTGCTTGTTATCGATCACCTCCTCCTGCCTCTGTGTTGACGAAGCGAAGTAGCTCGGTTCATAAGCAGTACGATTCGGGGTCGAATCACTGCGAGTTTGGTGAACTGAAGGTGATAAATGGGTGAGAGAGATGAGGGGAGAATGCCTTGGTGATTGGATTGGCATTTCCACTGTTGGTGCGGGTTGGGAGGTTCCATAGTGCTGAGAGTATAGTGAACGGAGAATGGCATATGGAAGATGAAGCTCAAGTGTGCTTCTGGGAAGATAAGGAGAGAGAGTGCACAGCTGGTCTAAAAATATCAGCTTTGGCACTAGTTGTGACCTGAATCAGAATGGGGACACATTTGTTCACCAGGCTTGATTGTTTTTTATGCAAGAGAAAATTAAATTAAATAAAATTCAAATTATATATAAGTATATATATGTGTATGTATGTATATATGTATGTATGGCCCTGCATCAAGATTAAGATAGATGCAACTGAGCCTAGCTGACTAGCAAGCTGGCTTGGGCTCGGCTTGATAAGTAGCTTGTGAGCTGAGCTCGATGAGCTAACAAGCCAGCCCCAAATCGACTCATTAGTTTGCGAGTGTGCTCGTTTAAGAAAATATTAAATACATAGGAATTGTGGTATGTATGTAAATGCCCCTTTATTATAACACTAGCATGAATTAACATTGTTTTTGGTTTTCATAATAAACAAGCCGGTTCAAACTAGTAGAATTAAGCTCAAAATTGAGCTTGAGCTCAAATTCAATTAATTAATCAAGCTCAACTTCAAGCCGAGAGCGACTCGAGCTCAACTCTACTTGTTTACACCCATAGAGGTTTATATGAAGATATGGAGCTTGTATGGAACTAAGAAGTGAAAGAGGGGATACCTGTTTGTCTCACTCCATGAATCAAGGATAATTGTTGCAGAACATTTAACGAAGATTTGCATCGATGATTTTATGCGTGCTTCTACAGAGGGACGACTGAGTATTTCAGGTTCTACCATTTTAGAAGCATGGCCGTTAGAAAGAGACAGCCTTTGGCGCTCTGCCCTCTCCAACCTAATAAATTCACTGCCGCCTATAATAGCATTGATGCACCTGAAATGAGAAACCGCAACACCTATGTGAGATGAATAATTGCTTTAGAGATAATAACTGTAAAATAAGTTGATTTTCTGGATATATAAATATATGAACGGTGACAATAATATATATTACAATTCATATAGAACTTTCAATTAGGCTTTATGTTCGCAAACTCAGTTTTCAACTCAAAAGAGTAAACGAGCCAACACAAATGAAATATTCTGGCATATTTATTAAATGAAATATTTTGGCATATTTATTCAACCAAGCTATACCCTTATGGCATGTTTGGGATCAATTTTATTTTTTGTTTGGAAGATTTACTTGCATACCACTATATGTATTTACATATCTATAACGCTTAAACTTCAATTTTTACATACATACCTCCTACCTATGCATGAAAAGATGTATTTCACTTTTTAAAGTTAAAATAGCAGTATTTTTGATGTGATATGACTGGTTTGGGTGTCATAGATGTAAAAAGTAATATTTAGGTGTTATATATGTAAATATATAGGAATTGGATGGTAGGTATGTAAAGATCCCTATTTTATTTTTCTTTTACTTTTAAAAACATGTATGTTTGGTGCGTTTTTCTGTTTTTTGATTTTTTATTTTTTTTAAAAAAATTTAACATATTTTTAAAAACACAAAACAACTTTTAAAGTGTTTCGAGTGTTTTTAAAAACAATAATATTTTAATTAAATATCCAAACATGTTTTGTTTCAAATCAAAACATAAACAAAAACAAAACAAAATAAATGAATAAATAAATAATAGAAATGATCCCAAATTACCCCTTCCTTTCTGGCTTTGGGAACTGTTTTTTTTTTTGGCAGCAAATAATCAAACTGATAATTGCATTAAAAACTGCCGCTGATGAAAAAGGAGTTAAAATTAAACTCACATTGCCAAACAATGCATGTTGTTATTGAAACCTCCAGTGTTGACATCAAAACTAGTAGTATTCCATAAGGTTGACACCATGAATGCGGCACAGAGATATGGAAGGTAACTCCAAGAACTATCATACGCAGCACCATTTTGGTCCATAACTGAATGTATCCACTCCATTTCATGCCCAACCACACCACCAATACCCTGAGAAATCTTCCTCAACCTGCAAATTTCGCTTTTCTCGGGTATTTGATCGGGTAAATGCTTCGATATCCCACTTAACAAAGAAAAAACAAGAGGGGCTTTCTCCTCAAGAACTTCTCCTACTGCCTCTACAAGAATTCTTCGAAAAACTAATGCATGCCCGGCTTGAACACAAAAACCAATTAGTGTTTCGATATCCAAGATTTGCCTCAAATTTGTGTCTCTTTCAATTCTATCGCTCGAACTTAAACTCCCAGCTATGGTTTCGAGAGCTTCCCGGTTTGCACGAAGAGCAGTGTCAATACAATTCAACAATGCGCCAATGTGTTCTTTTATCATCGTGTCGAATCTGTCAAATCCGTAACCACCAAATATGCGAATCAGTGATTTCAGTTCCTTCGCGTCCGTGTACGAGTCAGCAAAATATCCACCTACAGGTTTTGAGCTCTTGAAGCAGTTGTGGGTGGGTACAAATGTAACAGCAGCACCATTCAAATCCTTTACAATATTATCCATGTACCAGTTGGAGATTATTTCTACGGCAGATCCACTTTGTAAATCAGAAGGTTTTTTGAAATTGTGGAGGTTGGAAATTGGCCCGGTAAAGGTTTCTGTTAATAGAACTTCGCGAACTCCTTCAGTGAGATCCATGCTGATGTGCTGCTCGGCTAAATGGATGATACTAATGTGTCTGAGAAGAAGGGATTCTGTAATGGATGGCTGTTGTAGGCCGCTATCAGTTCTCATAACTGTAAGTAGCCTTCTTCTAAAGTTACCCAGGATGCAATCCCTCATGTACTGTGGACACATATGCAAAATTATATTTTAAATAAACCTAAAGCTGAAACAGTAAGAAGAAAAGTAATTCCAATCGGGTGTTTGAGAAGGAAAACACTTTTCTTGAACCTGCCTTTTAAAAAGAATTTTTGTTTTCTAGACTGAAGAAAACTTTCATTCACCCCCTAACATAGACTTTTTGGAAAATTTGCATACCTAGCACACAATTCTTATGAATTTACATATCTCACACCAAAACTTTCATAATTACATACACAACACTTATAGTACTTTATACCCATGTATGAAAAAGTATACTTCACTTTTAAAAAATCATAATAGTACTGTTTTTTAAGTGATATTAAATATTTGAGTGCTATGTGTGTAAATACTAAAGTTTAGGTGTGATATGTAAATTACATTTGAATTGTGTGCCATGTGTGTAAATGCCCCCATACATTTTCTTAGAATACAACTGTCAATTTAAAGATAACAATAGTTGCTTCTAAAAACTGAATAACCTCAAGTGAACCCCAGTTGCACCTAATGAAAGGTTAAAATAAACATGGTTCAACTTGAACGAAAAGATTAGACTCTCTCAAGAAGGGTTATACCTTTCTTTTAATCAATAATCAAAATCTCGACAAAGATAAAGACAAATCTCCACATCCACTATAGCAATTTTATTTATGCAATAAACTATCTTACATGATTTAAAATTTCTAGCTTATAGATGAAGAAATAATAAATTGTAAATAAATTACTCATAAATGAATAACAAGTTCCTAGCAAAATCATGAAAATTAAAGATGTCAAATAGCTAAAATATCAAACAGAAAAGTAATTTCAGAGTTTATATCCGCATCACTAAATGTTAAATTTTAATAAATCATTAAATAACTACAAATTTGAACTTAGGTCGCATTATCAGCAAAGTTAAAGAGAAAAATGGGCATACAAGTACAGTAATGGAATTACAGCAGCAATAAAAACTTAGCCTCACCTTAATAATTAAGGAAAAGTCTAAAAAAAATGTTTTAGAAAGAAGGGTCATATCTAAAAAGAAGGAAAATAAGAGAACCTCACGGAGTACGAAGACATGGTTTAGAACACATATAGGCTCCATGTCATTTAGAACAGAACATAAACTTGTTAGCCTTTGCATGGCAGCTTCCAGCCTGTTAAAAAATAATTAAGAATATATTAACTGCAATGGTGGTTTTTACAGGTTTACAAGATTGGCATTCGAGATGTATTGTAACACAACAATAAGAAGTTTGTGACTGAAAGAGTTTGTTTGGGATCGAATTTGTATATATATGTTATAAAACATATTTGTTTGGTGTAACTTTTACATATTTTTATTTTGAGTACTAAAAATAAATTAACTTATTTTTGAAAATAATCAAAACAGCTTTAAGATGTTTTGAGTATCTTTAAAAACAGTCATATATTAAAAAAATAAAAAATACAATATAGAAAATAGAAAACAAAAGTAATCCCAAACGCCCCTTACATTTTGACTGCATTACTGCTTTCGGGATAGCTTTCGCGCCCTGGTATTGAAAAACCATGAAAACCCCTTGGTGATTTGGCAGAATTGCTGGAGATTTTGATTGAATTCATTCGAAGAGCTGCTTGCTCTGGAATAAGCTGAAACATTGAGTACAATAAGACATTATACTGAACAAAATATTATCTTAAAATATATCAGCAGTGACAAAAAAAATATGAAAAAACAGATACCTGTATTTCTAAAGCTCCAAATCCACCTTCTGAGTCGAGTATATTTATTAGACCTTCCAATCCACCCATAATCGATTCAATCAGTGACTCCACATACAAAATAGCATCTCTACCTATTTTGCTCGGCTGCATTTACCATACAAGTAATATGTTACCTAATAACTTTATTTCATTTGAACAGTTGCTTTGATAAAAAGAAACATTTCCTTCTTCTAGCATTGCTATTAAAGGGATATAATCTAGTATAAAAAGTAGGGAGGATTGATTTGTTTAGTACAAGGAAAAATGGAAAAAAAAAATCAAATTGACATTTTAATATTTTTTTCTTTTTTTTCTTTTGGTTGAAGGATAAGATATCAGTCCAGAGAATTTGTAAGCGACATAAACTTGACCATAAAGTTAAGAGGATTTAATCAACTGGTGATACAGAGAATGCTTGATGAACTAAAGGATTTTACAGTTATTAAAAGGGAGAGAATCGTGAAGGATAGATCTTTTTGAATTGCCATACCAGCACAAGCATATAAATGCATATATAAAAACCAGAAAGAGAAAAATAAAGAAAAATACAATAAAGTAGAAAATTGAAAGTTCTCAATAAAAAGAAATTCCAATGCAGCTAAAAATTTCTTTCAGAGTTTCACCATTTGTTATCAGGTAAATAATAACGGGTACCTCCTCTGCAATAAGTGCAGAAGCACATTCAGGAAAACTGCTGGCTATACCAAGCCATGCACAGCAGTGATGCGGCCGCCCTTCAGGCCCGAACATGGTGTTCCTGAAAACCTGATGGAATGTAAAAAAAAAGGGGGGGAAGGGGGGAGAAGTCATTTTCAGAGAAGACAGAGTACTGCAGCAGGTTTTGCTATTAGGAAGTGAGCAGATTCGTACTGCAGTTAGGTGATGGTGATAGAAATATAAATTTTTTAGGCTTCCATGTTTTGATAGCTGACACATGAGCTCGTCCACACATCTGCAGTATGAAGTTCAAAATTATGAGGGCAACATGTGTCAAGTACAATGCATAGTGTAATCTACAATAGACTAAAGCTCATGGTACAAATAGTTAACAAGAATATATGTTTGTAACATATTGAAAATAAAAATTATTCAAAGGCATAGATTTTAAAAAATACGTGGAACATTAAAATAATGTGTCATACGCATTCAGGTTAGTGTCCGATGCGGGCGCCAGGATTACATGTCCATCTAGGATCGATGCCAATGAGAGCAGACCGGATCTCTTCCTCCTTGTTCTCTGGCTGGCTCAGGACTTTCAGCTGTCAAGGACCAGGCTAACCCTAATTATGCCTTATTTTCATTAATTGACAGCAGTATAAGGATTAATTTGCTTTGGGACTATTTATTTGTTTTGTTGGTGGACTGGTTGAATGCTTTTGGCTATTGATTTACGCAATGGTGATTGTTTTCTCTCTAACTTTTCTTGCCGGAGTGTTGTATCGTAAGATCTTTTTCAGGTGGTGTCCGTAGCCTAATTGGATCGACATGATAATCTCTACCAAACATCCAAAGCCTTTCTATGCCACCCACTTGGCTGCCGCCCTATGGTGTCTGCTGCCAAGCTGCTGTCCAGCCGCCATCACCCTTTTTTCCACTGTTATCCATCTTATTAATATATTAGCCCATCTCTTGATATTTTCACGCCATCTAGGAACACCCTAAATTGATTTCATTTGATATCAGAGCTTGACGAACCCTAAATCTTTAGGGATTTATTCTCTACGTCACCTAACATAATACATTCACAAAAAATCATCCGTACAACCTCCATCCCTAACCCTAAGCCTTCCCCTCTTTTGTCAGTTGAAAAGACACCATATCACTGAGAAAAAACATACAAAGAGATATCCAAGAGCTTACAAGGGAAAGCATACAAAGGTAGATCCTCCAATTGTAATAAACACTTGCTTCCTTCGAGAGAAGACAATCCGAAGAGATCACCCACAAACATAACGAAGGCTCACTAAAATGAAGAAATCAACCCTTCTCTAGAAAGTTTCTAGCAATGAAGAAATAATGACACAACTATCTGACATTGGATATTAGAGAGGCAAAAAGTTTGGGGTGAATATCGACTTGTCAGATTTTGACAAGCATCTGGATCCATAGTAATTCATGAACTATAAACAGCTGAAAAAAAATTTTAGTAAAAGTGCATTTCACATAAGAAGAGATTTAAATTAACAACAATAAAGCTCATAAAAAGAACATCATTGTGGTAGGAGAATAGAAAGCATCTTCGATAGCATGAGAAGAAGAATAAGATCACCACGCTTAGATGAAAAAGAAGATACAACAAAATATCTTCTCCCACATTATCGACAAAACTTGTTCATTAAAACTTCATAACCTGCATCAGATAGATTCTTTTGTAGAAGAGTACACGGCTGATTTTGATAAACTAATGTTGAAATGTGAGTTGGTGGAGCCCGAAGAGCACATAGTGAAAGTATTTTGGTAACCTCAATTACATTATAATAGGCACTTAGCCATTAAACTCATGATAGATGTGATGATTCACATTCTAGAAGGAAAGATATGGCTTGGAAGTATGACAAGCTAAAATCTAAGTCTAATCAACTTTATCACATTAGTATCTACTGTGATAAAGAGATCTTTTGCAAAATATGTTGAGCAAAAGAGCATTTTATCGTTCACGTTCGAAGGTAGCATAACCAAGCGTAAGAAGATTGCATTCCACAGCTTTGCACTTTGAGCACTGATTTGTACCGAGACGAATTTTTACAGAAATTAGGGTAAATAAAATTCTTTACTTCACTAAAACAAAACAAAACAATTTAAATACATAAAAAATAGCACCTACAATTCAAGAGGTAGGCGATCTCTCCCAACGCCTACAATTGAAGAGGTAGGTGATCTCTCCCAAACCCTAACCCTAAGACTAAAGAAAACAATCTCATAGCATAACCTAACCCAAAGCACAATAAGCCTTATTTATACCCCACAATAATAATAAAAGAATAAATTGTCATTAGGTGCCAGCTAGGGCTGTAAACGAGTCGGCATGAGCGAGTTCAGGGTCGACTCGTGTTCGAAATCAGCTTGTGTTCGAAATGACTCGTGAACGGTGTATTCGTGTTTGACTCAAATAATATTTTCCGGCTAGAGTTCGACTCGAAATTTGAGGAGATGAGTCGGAAGAGGAAGAGGAAGATGACTCGGAACTCGGAAGAAGAAGAGGAAGAGCTAGAGGAAGAGAAAGACAGACAACGAAACCTAAGCTCTCGCCGCCGAAACCCTTTCGCGATTTTGAGAGGAGGAGCGTGGCTGTTGTCGACTTGCCGAACGCCTTTCGCGATTTTGAGAGGAAGAAGAAGAGTTGTCGAGTTGCCCAACGTCTTTCGCGATTTTGAGATTTTGGAAGAGGGAGAAGCAGTCGAACCCTAGTGATTTTGAGAGGAAGGAAAAGAGGCGGAACTCAGAAGAGGGAGAAACAGCCGAATTTATTAATAATTTGTTATATATTATAATTTATAGGATTTAATTTTTAAAAATTTGATAAATTTTTTTTATTTTAAAAAGTTTTAATTAATTACAATTTATAATATTTAATTTTATGAATATGTATTATATGTGTGTGTATTTATTTATTTATTTCTTTTCGAGTCAATTCGAACCGAACACGAGAGAACAAATGTTTGTTTTTGTTCGGCTCGTTTATATTTCGAGCTTAAAAGTTTGTTCGTGTTCGGCTCATTAAGCTTAACGAACGAGCCGAACACGAGCTGTTCGCGAACAACGAGCCAAATTGACAGCCCTAGCGCGAGCGTAGCAATAACACATAACTGATTCTCTACAAAGAAACCTTATTCAAAATTGTATCCTCAAAGGTATTCACGAAAAGAAAGCAGTTTAAGAGATTCATGATCAAGTAAAACACTAAAATTGAAAACTTTGAAGCAGAATTGTATTTGCTTGTTCTAAATTTTGGCAACACCTGGACCAGTTGTAGGCAGCATTCCCTTCTGATAGCAACCCCTCCTTTCCAGTAGAGACAGTCGCCTTTTCCAAGTGTCTTATGTTTATTGAAGAACGTGAGGATGTAACAATCATTAAGATTGATAACCAGTACTGACGCAATTCCTGCAACAGTTGGAAAATAACATGTAAGAGAAACAAATTAAAAAGAAGCATACTGGCCAATGAAAAAACAGGTATCTGTAGGAAATCAAACACACATATGAAAGGAAAGAACTGCATATCAAGTCACCAGAAAAATAAGAGGAACAGACCACCTTAGATGCTGTTTTATGGGTTAAAATTTTGAATATAACAAAAAGTGTACACAATCTGAAGTTATAAAAAGATGTCTAAAGGATATAAATTTAGGCCATCAAAGTAAGCTGACCCCAAACTCAGATAAAACCAATGATAATGCAGATCTAAAGTTCTATAATATCGATGATGGGATGCGTGTAGCTATTCATAGAAAATTTTAGCTGACAGACAAACTAGTTATTGCTTCAAGGATAATTAGCCTATCCAAACCATTGAAATTAGCTTTAAGGATCCACCTCCATTCATTCTTGTTAATTGCTTGATGCAGCATGAGCAGCAAAATGGCGGATCTCTTGAAGTATTTATAGAGAGAAGGGAGTAGAAAAAGAAGAAGGAGAGAGAGAGAGAGTTCAAAAGATGAGGTTTAATATTGCTCTACACGATAGAGCTTATAACAACGATGCTAAGGATGACTTTGGTGCGACAATATTATTATATTCAAGCAATACTCATGTATAAAAATGCAATCAGCAATTTTAGCATCAATGACAAAGTAAAAAATGTAATTGTAAGTGCTTGGAGGGGAAAAATAAATATACCTTTTCAATTTCCTAAAACTCGATTACAAGATAAACAACAGGGGAAAGCCGCCACATTAGAAAAGCCACAAAGTCCTCATGCAAGAAGAAGGAAAAAAAAATTACCAACAATAACTAAATTTAAAAGTAGAAATAACTAAAAATAGAAAATAATAAAAATATAAGATACCAAAAGGGGAAATTCCTAAAATTCCGACACCCCCTCTCAAGTTGGAGCATAAATATCTATCATGTCCAACTTCCTTACCAAGAAACTCAAAACTACGCCTGAAAAATCTTTTGGTGAAGATATCCACTATTTATTGCGTTGTCAGAGTGAAAGGCATGCCAACAACTCCATAATCAATTTTCTATTTTATGAAGGGTCTATCAATCTACACATGTTTTGTGCAATCATATTGCACTGGATTTTCTGCGGTGCTTATGATAGTTTTATTATCACAATACAACTTCATTGGCAAGTTTATCGGGATCTGTAGCTCTTCAAGAATTCTCTTCAACCATAATATCTCACATACTCCATTAGCCATAGCAGAATATTCTATCTCGACACTACTCCTTGCCATCACATTCTATTTCTTAGTTCGCCATATAACCAGATTTTCCTAGACATAAGTGCAGTATTCGGACGTCGATCTCCCGTCAACAATTGAGCTCGCCCAATCTGCATCGGTGTTAGCCTCTATGTTTTGTTGTTTGGTCTTCTGAAAAGCAAACTCTTACCTTAGGTATCTAAGAATCTTGTTAAATGTTTCGAGGTCTTCTTTAAAGGGTGAATGTCTACTTACCAAACTTACAACAAATGCAATGTCTAATCATGTATGTTATGAGCATATCAACTTTCTCGCCAACTTTTTATCTCGAGTTGTATGCATTGAGTCACTTCCTTCCATCTCCCAATTTCTGATTGGGATCAATTAGAGTGTCTTCAAGCCTACAATCAGTCATCTCAATTTCTTTTAGAAATTAAGAACATACTTTGGTTGGGAAACAATAATCTTTTTCTTTGATCTAGCAACCTCAATGCCAAGGAAATACCTTAGAGATTCTGACACCAGAGTTATCCCAAACAACAATAAGCAAACAAAATATTACTATTGCAAAACCCACACATAAATGGAAATACAATAACAGACACAATACTCAACTCAATTTGGTGTGTATCCCAAAGGGGAAGGTGGGTGGTTATGCAGGGTGAGAAGGGTGTTAGGGTGCTTTTGGCTAGCTGTGGTTATGGATGATGAATGGAAGGTTGGAGGTGACAGAGGAGGTTGGCTGTGGAGGGTGGCTGTAGGGGGAAGGATGTCCAGGTGAGGGAAGTAGTAGGGGGATGGTTGCAGGGAAAGATGGTTGGCGCTGATGGTTAGGCGGGCTGTTAGAGGATGGTTAGGAAGGAAGGTAAATTGAGGAGCGCTGCAGGATAGATGGTTGGCGGGTGGAGAATAGAGAGGTGCAGTAGGAAGGGAACTAGATGGAAGAGGGCTGCAAGAAGACAACAATTGTGGTTGTTCGGTGGCTGTAGTAGGGGGAGAAAGGGAGTGAGGGAGGCGGCTGTTAGGTGGTAGGAGGCTGAAAGAAGGCTGGGAAGAACGATAAGGAGGTATGGTGCTGCAAGTGATAGAAAAGTGGTTGTCCTTAGTGTAGTTGTGGCAGTTACGATAGTGGCGACAGTGGATGGAAACGTCGAGGATAATCACCATATCGGAACGAGATACAGCCGAAGCATTACTCGCCCTTGGACAACCCTATAAAAGAAGACTTGGAGACGTCGACAACTATTCTGATAGAAAACTCATAAAAAACTGAGGATCCAAACCTATTATAATAAATAATGAGAACTAGCTGTCTTTGAAAAATATTTAATGAAACCCAAGCATTCAAAGAATTTATTATAATTATTAAACAAATAAAATTTTCAAATAGCATGCTACAAATTATCTCAGACGATCTTAGTCGACAAGAAAATAAAATTGACCAAATACAACATTCAATTAGAAAATTAACAAAATATAAAATTCCTAATTCAAAGAACTTATAAAAGAAACTAATGTCATTGTTAAACCTATTATTATAAAAAGTTCAGCAATTCAACCAAACACTTTGTTTAATTATAATTTTGGTTCTAGTGAACAAGATTTTGAATAGTTAGTACAAAAAATTTAAATCTGCACATATTATAGCCTTAGAAGAAATATCTTCCTCCGAGATTTCTGAAAAAATCAATCTCAGAAAAAGAAATAGAAAAACTTCAAAATTCTTTTAAAATCTCCAAATTCAACCAACTCTAGAAATTAATAAACTAAAATATACTAAAAAACCATTAAATCCTTATTAGTATAATAGACCCACTCCTATGGATATTCTTCACGAAGAAGCAACTTCGACATACCAATGTCAATATGATGCGCCCCAAGTATATAAATGAAATATTGATGGATTATTTGACCAACAAATTAGACAAACCATTCAAAGAATGTTAATATATGCTACAACAACATAATCTAAACAAAATATGACTCCTAAGATAGCCGAAATGATCACTTGTAGGTCTGCCTGAATCTTAAAAGGTTGGTGGGAAAATTATAACCGAAGAACAAAAATAAGATATTTTAAGTAAAATAAAATTAGAATATGTCACTCTTCTAAATATTGAAGTTGTTTATCATTTAGTTATTAACATTTTAGATCATTTTACTTGAACATATGAAGATAGAGAAGAATAAATTCGATCATTATTATAAAAATTAAGATGCCCTACTCTTACACATTTTAGGCGGCATAAAGATATTTTTTCTTGAAAGAGTAAATTTAACTGAAGCTAATCATAATTATTGGAAACAAAAAATTATAGAATTGTAGAAAGATTTAAGAAAACTCTTAGGAATCAATAAACACATATTATTATCTATGAACATCTCATTTATGGCAAAATCATTAATGTTTGTATTCAGACTGGACTTGAACTATGCTCTAATATTAAAATTAATAAGCAACTTAAAAGAGAGAATTTTAGAAAAGAAACAACTACGAGAATTTCGTAAATAATTTGCTTGTGAAGAATCCTCTTTTAAAGAGAATAATAAATCATTAATTAATGAAAAAAAAGAAACATAAAGACAAAGATATCAAATGTTATCGATGCGGAAAATTTGGGCATTCAATAAATGTCCGTTAAGAAAAAAGCTAAATGAATTACAAAGTGACGAAAGCTTAAAATAAACTTTAATGAATGTACTTTTAAATTCTTCTAAAGCTGAAAGTTCTTATGGTGAAAGAGATTCTACCTCTAATTCTATTTATAATTCTGATAATGAAGAAAAATCTTGTTGTAGAAAATGTAGTGATAATAATTGTTATAAATCTATTATCAAAATGACTGGTTTATTCACTTTATCAAATGAACAAAAAGATCGATATAAAACTATTTTTACTGTTCTATTTGTACATTATGCATGAAATGTAATGTTATTTGGACTTAAAAATACCCCATTTGAATTTCAAAATATTATGAATGATATTTTTAATTCTTACTCCGAATTCATTGTCGTTTATATTGATGATGCCTTAATTTTCTCCAATAATATTGAGATACATATTAAAGATTTGAATACTTTTAAATAGGTTGCTAAGAAAAACAGAATAGTTATTTCAACATCCAAATTAAAATATTTCAAATTTAAATTAGATTTCTAGGACATAATATTTCAAACTCTTATATAGTACTTATTTATTGCAATATTAACTTTATTGATGAGCTTCCTGGTGAAATTATTGATAAAAAACAACATGAGCGATTTTTAGGTGTTTTAATTTATGTTACTGACTTCTATAAAACTCTTGCTTTAGATGCCACACCTCTTTTTGATTGATTTAAGAAAAATCCTCTAACTTGGTCCTCTATTAATACAGTTGCAGTTCGGAAATTAAAGCTAAGGTTAAAAATCTACCCTGTATTCATCTTGCAGATCCAGCTATTTTTAAAATTGTTGAAACCGACGCATCGAATATTGGATGTAATGGAATTTTAAAGCAAAAATTACAACCTTACTCCAAAGAACTTATTTGATTCACCTCAGGAAGATGGAACCCAACTCAATCAAAATATTCTACTATCAAATTAGAGATCAAAATATTTTACTATCAAATTAAAACTGTTTGATAAAGTTAAATCAATTTTCAAATTTCAAGATGATTTACTAAATACAAAATTATTCTTAAGTATCGATTGTAGTGTCGCAAAATCTATCATTCTTAAATATGTTTAAAATCTTGCATCCAAACAATTTTTTGCATCCTGACAAGCCTAATTACCTGTTTTTTATTTTGATATTGAATATATTAAGGGAGAAACTAACTCCCTTTTTGATTTTCTAACTCGCGAATTTTTGTAGGGATTTCGAGGGGTGCAGCACCCCCAAAAGGAAGAGTCCCATGACACCTAATCGTGATGACTTTCCCCAAGGGAGGGGAAGAGGTCGTCGCTCCAGCAATCCTCCCCATAAAAATCTTACTAAATATTTTTATGGTGATCACATTCCCTCTCAACCTTCTTCCTCTGCTTATTAAAAATCATCTATTGAATTTTATTCTGAAATTTTAGAATTTGAATTTGAATATTCAATCTACACTAAAGTGTTGTTTCACATATTTTAGAAATCAATGACAATGATTATCATCTTACGTCACATGGGCGAACTTTGAACGTTTGCTTGGAACTAATCCTTTTTCATAAGAATATTTTTATGATCGAAATATATATGAAGCCATGTTCATCTCCCTCAAATGTGTTGAAATCCAACGCAGTTATAATGAAGAGAACAATTCGATTGCTTATAGTAAAACCACAATACATAGAATAATTAATTATAAAGAATGGAGACTTACTCTACACCAGATAAAAACTATCGAATATAAAAATCCCAAATATCAATTCCGAAAAACATTTATTTAATTATTGGATTTATATTGAAGTCATGCACAGAGCATTTCATGTTATTAATCCAAGACAAAAACACTCCTGAATGTTTATAATGATGCATTAAATTCTTTCTAATGATATTTCTCATTGGTTTTTCCAGTGGCGGGATAATTGTAGTGCAGTAACTTAAATTCTACTACATCAAACCAAAACAATCTATTCTCATTGGGTCGAATCTTCTCCATATATTTCTCTCAACTGATATTTTAATCGGCGATCAATTAGATTTATATTTTTATCACTCAATGTCAAATTCCATGGATTTGATCATGGAACCTTAAAATACAAAGTGACGCTTTAAATCGTAAATGTTTGTATAGAAATTAGTCAATAAAATGGTGAACAATCATTTTAATCGAAGAAAAAGTTATATCCATTAATAAACAAATTCAAACTAATAAACCAAGTTTGCCTAAAAATCATGCTAAATAAGATCTCTCATTTAAAAATCTTTATCAGCAATTAAGGAGATATTTTCCAAATGAATCTACCGAGAAACTCAAAGAAAAACTACAACATCAGCTTGCCAAATTATTTTAAAAAAAAGAAGATAGTATGCAGGATGATGACAAAACAACAATACCTAGTGATGATCTACCTGACAACTGGGAAAATTTATAGATGGCAATCATCCAGAAGAAGAATATCAATCCAACAAACAAAATTTAGCGGTGGACCCCACCATGACCAAAAGGCTATCAAAAGAAAATATTTGAAAATATAAAGCAAATATAAAGGACAAGGCCAGCTCAAAAGTGCTCCCCAAAACCTCTTCCTTTCAACACCAGTAATTTTATGCTTTTGTAACTTTATATGTTATTACATTTTGCCTGAGAACTTTGGCATCCGTTCGTTTGATTAAGTCTATATATAGTGGTGTTATTATGCATCCTGTGTGGGGTTTTTGGTAGTTTAGTTTTTTGTTGTAATAAATGTTAAGTGTCTGGTGGAACTTTCCGCTTTTGCAGTATGTAAGTTTTTATTTTAATATATATAAAGTTGTGTTTTAACAATTGCAGCGCTATTTTATATTAATTCATGCAATTATATTCCTAGAGCAATTTAGTATCTGAGTTATGAATGACTAAATCTATTAAAAGTTGGGATGAGTTTTTGTGCTTTATAAATCTTTGGCTGTGTACAATTATAAATTAATTAAACATTTCATTATTTTAGTAGAAAATAGGATTTAACTTATAAGTTTCTCAAAGATTTTGAATTACCGGGATAGGTTGGTTGTTGTCCTTTAGAGAAAATGTTATGGATGTTGTTGACTGGATGCTATCTTAAATTATTTGAAATTTTATTAGAAACTTATAGCACAGGAGAGGTAGGAACGAAGAGAGAGAGTCCATGGACGATTGACAAAATTAGATCGTCGTTTCGATGGACAAAGTATGCTCTAATACTACATATGTTTTGAAAGTGGAAAAATAATTCTCTTCAATTTTCAAAGACTCTGTTACAAGATAACAAGCACGGTAAGAGCGCCACATTGGAAAACCACAAAATTCTCATGCTAGAAAAATGAAATAGGAATTATCAAGAAAAGCTAATTTTAAAAGTAGAAACTACTAAAAATAAAAAATAACAAGAATAGAAGATACCAAAAGGGAAATTCCTAAAATTATAATAGTAATGATGTGAGTATAAATGGAATAAGAAAGTTAACCAGAAAAAGGAAAAACCTACAGAGAGATCGCATGTAACAACAGAGATGTTTTCTCCTTGTATCTTTGGTATGTTCTCAAGACAATGAACAATTTGCTGAAATAGACCCTTCAGAGTTGAATCAAGGTCCAGGGCAACCATCCCAGGAGTACCGAGCAAAAATCGAATTCTTCCAGCAGATGATGATAGATACGATAGTGCATAACCCTTTATTGCTGCAAAGAAAAATAGAGGACAAGTTTTAAAGAGCAATATGAACACCATTAAGTAAATAAAAGCCTCAGAAAGATACTTCCCATAACAGCCTGAAGAACAGAATTTTAATGAAAAATAAAAAACAACAATTTCAGAAATAATCAGGCATAAACTTGCTGAGGTTAGTGCTGCGTTCCATATAATTCAGAAGCAAGGAGCTTTGTAACTGCATTCCACAAATGATCCGATATTTTTTACTGAAATTAAATATACTGTGCAAATGATCTCTATTAAAAAAACATAAGAATATGAAGATCGAAGATGGTCTTAATGACCATTTACCTGCCATATATTTGCGAACTAAAGAGCAGAGTTTGTCCATTCCATCCAACAAAAATCCGACAGTTGGATCTCCTGCATCCTGAAATCATTAAGAAAACCATATATAGTCAAAAAAGAATGAGGCATCCAAGCCCAATATAAATTAAATGAGCACTTCTATATCTTACAATGTCAATAGGCACTCGAGAAACTTTAGACTTTGACGATGCAACCCCAACATGTTGAAAAAACCAAGTTATCTCACACTGAGCTAATGCTAGTGAAGAGAATACCATCTGTCACCATCACAAGCATTCAGAAGAATCTAAAAGATGAGAAATGTAATTACTACTGATACACCATGTCTCGGTATAGAACATATTGGAAGAAAAAAAAAAATCAGTTCATAACTATCAAAGCTATTCCTGACATTACATCTTAATAAAAATGAATACTAAAAGGCAGTGGTGGAACCAGAGGTGGGGGACACACTAGCCTCCCCTAAAGTTTTACAAACTCTTTATACTCATATAATAGAGTAAAAGTTTTGGCCCCCTAAACTTAAATACGTAATAATAATTTAGTTTTAATTGTATTTTTTATTTAATAATAATTTTTATAATAGTTTTACAAACTTTGAGGTGGAAATTTTAAACTTAAATACTTGTCATTTCGTATATTTTTTATTTTGTTGCTGCCTCTCCAATATTAAAGCAAACAACCTACATCTTGCAGGTGTCCCAACTTTATTGGCATGACAAATTAATCATTTTGTTAGAGTCCCCTTTTTTTTCATTCTCGCAGTTGATTAAACTAAAAGACAGATTTAATTATTCCATGAAGGCAATCTCCGCCCAGCAGTGGTAATGAGCCAAATAATCTACAAAGTCTTATTAGACTTTCCTATCCAGTTATACTCCACATCCTTGGTCCTAGGCATCATTTCTTGTAAAATTTATATATTTACCTTCTAAATTCAATCGATTGTAGCATATTCTTCCATCCTCTGACATCTTACCTTGCTGGTTCAAGACTTTGCCGTTTTTCAGACATATTTGCTACATAAATACTTGTGCGATATAAATTGTATTTAAACTATCCTATAATGAGCAGCAGTTATCATAACATTTTGGAAAGTCAAATTCGATTTTGGTTTTGCTCTCATTATTGAAGTTTTTATATCATGGTTTGGACAGTTTCAGGGTTCAATCAGAGTTTCTATTTTTAATATTTAAACCATAAAAATATATAAATCATATAAAGGAAATATTTCTCATAGATTTCAATAATCAAAACAAGTTAACATAAAGAATTTTTCCATGGCTATATAATGCTGATGTTTGTTCCAAGAATATTAAAACATGTCAATGTACCAAAATGTTTATATTCCTGATGTTAGTACTATCATAATCTTTTTCTAGTTAGGCATTATGTACACATATACTTCTATGTTTTGCATCTAAATTATTAAATTTTAAAATTGAAAGTTATAATTAATTTAACTTTAACATGATTATATTTGAATGGTGAAAAAGATGCAATTTTCAATAGACTAGTTGATGTTCAAAATGATGAGCATGAGACATGTAGTTCGTAAATAAAATAAATAAAAATCCAATCATATAAAATATAAAAACTTCAAGTAGTTAATTATTTATCGTTTGATGAATTATATATAATGAATCTTTTTAAGAAATCTAAAATTAGAAGTATTTAGTTGAAAATATCTCAAACAGAAATTTACTAAACTTTTGATTAAACGCTTACTATTGTAGCTCAAAATAAAATAGTTGACCCTTGATAAAAAGCAACTATTTTGGCGGAATGGTTGAGGGAAATTTATGAAAAAGGAGAGTCTGCATTCGCATATCATATATAACATATGCTTTACTTCCCCCTCTTACAGTATGTGGATTCAAATTAGTCTCAATGTTTGCCAAAACGGACTCATAACAAAATTACATGTACCAATTTTGGCCTGCTTTTAAAGCCATCACAAGCACGTGTTAGTAGACATGCATCATCATGCTAGTTCCGTGCCAATGTTTAGATTTAGATTCGATAAAGAATTGGAGCAAACACATCCAAGAGGGTACTCAAGGCCAATAGGAAAGCATTATACATACACCATAAGAAAATTAATCCAAGATCCAAAGCCAATCACCTCACTGACCAAGTACATGAAGTGGAGAGAAAGGTTTTATACGTGAATAAATGAAAAAAAAAAAAAAAAACTGATTCACGGGTGTTATGTTTAGTCCTTGACAGTGATGGACAGCAAGCATACAACTGCTACAAAGCCTACATAGCGGCGTGCATGGTTCGAATTCATTTCAACTTGATTAATATTAAAACCAAATAATTTACCAAACCTCAGCCAACAAGAAATCATTATTATGAAAAACTGAACCAAACTAGATTTTTGGTTCAATATAATCAAATTTTGGCATGATTTCTGATTTAAAACCATAAATCTTTAGCAACAAAGTTCTTGATTTAAATTAGAACCTATTTAGCTTGCTATGGTTTTACATACTGTTCAACAAAAATTAAGTCAGGATTAGTTTAATAAAATCGTTCCAACTTAATGGATAATTAAGGCATCCATATTGTTTAATTATACTATTAATAAGTTCAGTTCGACAAGTTCATTTTAAATTTAATCTTTGTGTTCAATTTGGCTATAAGATATTTAACATTTAACATCAATGGTCTATGAAAATTCTCATTCATCTCACTTGAATTAGAATTGATTTTGAGTTAAATTTTAACAAGGTGGATTAGATATTCAATAAGACACTTCGTAGAGTTTTCTCCCTCAAATGTAAACTTTATGATCAAGTTTGAAGTTTCAAATAGCCATAAACGCCTGGTGTTTAGCATTAGCTAGCTTGATCAAGATATCCTGTGCTTTGAGGTGGCTTGGATATAGAGGTATTAAGGAAGGCATTGCTTTTCTTTCAAATTAAGCATTTATTTGGTTGGAGTACTAAATTGAAACACCATTAAATTGTGTTTTTTCGGTTTATTTTTTATTTTTTTATTTTTTTTTTATTAAGACGACAGTTTCCCATTTTTAAACTTGCTTCAAATTTCTTGTATAATTTCTTTTAAAGGAACACCTTAAATGCTGTGTTTTTTTTTCCTGAGATGACAGTTTCCCATTCTTCAATTTGTTTCAAATTTCTTGTATAATTTATTTTGGAGCCGACAACAAAAAAAAAAGATGTAACCACTTTCACCTACTCCGAGTGTACCGAAACATTGCAAGATAATGCCAATCTTCTATTTCTGTACATTCTCTCAAACCGGACCTTGAAGATTTTAACAAGGATCAACAAGGTCACTAACTACCTGGTGATATAGGCAATAGTTTAAATCATTGGCTTGTCAAAACAATCTCACTACAACGTCCCATCAAAATAAGCATTTTTTGTTTATTCTTTCTTTTAGGGATAAAAAATTGCGCTCACAATCTCTTGCCACTGACCTAGTTAGCCTATCACCAAATAGATATTGTACATGCTTGTGCTTTCATTCAAGCAGCAATTTTTGGTTGGGTTTTGACAAGAGCATTGACTGTTTTCTTCTCTTTTGTCGACATTATAAAAGGAGGCATTGTGAGCTTCATCCTTCTTAATATCCAAGGCTTTATTTTGTCAGCACCTTAATGAATATCTATTAAATTTTGATGAGCTTAGCTTATGAAATTAATAAAAATCGGAGCAAAAATAAACAAACAAATTGAAAGAAATATGTGGGAAAACCCAAAATAGAGCTAATTTGATTAATATCCAAGCAAACAAAAAAGAAACAATCGGTAATCTATAAAGCAAAAACTAATTTGATTATTCCCAAAATACAATTGATTCCCCAAAATAAATTCAAACCTTCCCCCCAAAATTCCCATTAATTCCTCTCCTCACATACATGATCATGGGCTCAACGGACCCCGCCCAGGTCTGCAATATTCCAAGGCAAAAACAGTGGTTTCTAACCCCTCTAGGCTAGGTCAGCTGGTTTGGCTGGGTAGGGTCGGTCCAGACTAATCTAAGAGAGACTGACATAACAATAATCCCCTCCCAAAGAAGCAAGTTGTCCTCAAGATGGAATGATGGAAATTACTTCTGGATCACTTCATCAGGCTCTCAAATTTGCTTCATAATCTGGTAGCATGGTATTAAGTGTTGTACCAATAATCAACCCAAGCAATCCACCATGCCCAAAGCTTCGACATATCTAATACAAAATAATGAAGGTATATCTCCACACTCCAATTGGCCATCTCCATATGATCATATGTCAAACGAATGATATGTCGTACTCTTCTTTAGAATTGTCCCTTGTAATTTGAACAATTCCTTCTAGAAATGGCTAATGAACACTTTGTCCCTAATTGATACAATTGATTATGAAACGTCATTCAAACGAACCACTTCTCTTATGAACACGGTAGCGACTAATACAATAGTGTAAGGGTGTCGTAATGGAATGAAGTATGTTTACTTGCTCAGGTGATCCACTACCACCAATATCACGATAAATCCCTCTGATCATGGCAAACCCTGTATAAAATTCATCTTCACTTCCTCTCAAACCTACTCAGGTAAGGCTAAGGGTTGTAGCAACTCTTAGTGTCAGTCAAATGCTTGAGTCGTTGGCATACATCACATCTTGTCACCATGCCCTCTACATCTCTACACATGCCCACCTAATATAGCTTTACGGACGGTAGACTGTGTGTCTTCTGTACACCAGAGCACCCCTAATAGCACTATCTTTTGAGGATGTACCCAGATGCCCTTGGTAACATGAATCTTCCCTGGCAAAATATTTGTTGACCCCTCAATGCATATGTCTGTCACGATATTGTATAAGCCCTAGTCTTCATCAGACCGTTATCATGTGCACTCTCTTGCCTCGATGCTTCCTAATCTAAGACCATTGGTACTGAAAAAGTTCTTAGTTGGAGCTTCAGCTTCCAAGATAGTGCATCTTCAACCTTATTCTTCAATCCTACGCGATATTGGATTTTAAAACCATATCAAAGCAACTTAGATAGTCATATCTGAGGCTTCTCGGTCACTATCCTCTCCAAAAAATAGTTCAAGCTCCTCTAATTTTACCTTTATAAAAAAGTGTCTCCCTAACAGATGGGGACGCCACCTCTAAATTACCAAAAAAATGGTCATCAACTCCCGCTCATATACGGACGAGCCTCACTCTGACAATGAGTACCTTACTGAATAGGTAATAGGACGCTGGTTTTGCATGAGTATTAGCCCCAGTCCATATC